GCCTCCATTTGGAGACCAGAATTCCCTTTGATCAGGAAGGAGTTGATCCTTGAGTCTGGCGCCTTAGACCACTCGGCCATCCTGACAACTACAGAGGTGTCAAAAAGAATACGTAACACTAATTTGACCTATCTTGTCGTAAAACCACCTTTATGAATTTGGCTCCACATCAAGTGTCTCTCTCTGTGTGTTTACTAACTATTGGTAAGAATTTCCCCTTGCTGCATAAAATGATTTTGCACCAACTCTGCTGCTTTAAATTGCTTCCAAAAGAAAAAAAAGAGTTAAACTTGTTGTTCTGCCGACAATCACAGTTCAAAAGTGCGTCAGGAGTGGGATTTGAACCCACGCCTCCATTTGGAGACCATCCTGTCAACTACGGAGGAGACAAAAAGAATACGTAACACTAATTTGACCCACTTTATCGTAAAACCACCTTTATGAATTTGGCTCCACATCAAGTTTCTCTCTCCATTATGTGTTTACTAACTATTGGTAAGAATTTCCCCTTGCTGCATAAAATGATTTTGCACCAGTGTTGGCGGATTCAAAATACTCTGTATACCAACTCTGCTGCTTTAAATTGCGTCCAAAAGAAGAAAAAAAAGAGTTAAACTTGTTGTTATGCCGACAATCACAGTTCAAAACTGTGTCAGGAGTGGGATTTGAACCTACGCCTCCATTTGGAGACCATCCTGACAACTACGGAGGAGACAAAAAGAATACGTAACACTAATTTAACCCATTTTATCATAAAACCACCTTTATGAATTTGGCTCCACATCAAGTGTCTCTCTCTGTGTGTTTACTAACTATTGGTAAGAATTTCCCCTTGCTGCATAAAATGATTTTGCACCAACTCTGCTGCTTTAAATTGCTTCCAAAAGAAAAAAAAAAGAGTTAAACTCGTTGTCATGCCGACAATTCAGATTTTAAATAAGTGACTGAAGCTTTTGAAATTAAATGTTAACATACACAAAGTGAATGGTTCATATAATCCATTGAAGCGAAGAACTGTGTTCACACACCATTATAACAAGTACCACAAGTTAAAAATTTCAAGTACAGTTTGGCTTTAATGTCGCTATCTGGTTTACCACCGAACAGATAGATTGAGTAATATGTTAAAACTAGGGATTTGCTTATCACCTCCATTTTTATCTGACAAAACTGACCCACCATATCTCAGCAATCAAGTTGGAAGTAAGAAAAGTTATAATCACCAACATGAACACTGGCCACAAACTGGACCTGTGTAATAATAAGTATACAGAATTTACCTCTCTATTCTTTATTTTTAGTCTGATGAGGAAAACTTTTTCTTTTGGGACATTTTTCTTTGATAGCTGCAAAATCGCAGGTAGTGAATGGAGAAAAAGATGAACCCCCCAGCCCAGGGAACGTTAATGTGAGCATCTTAATCCCTAGGCCACCCGAGTGCTACATGATTGTTCATGTTACTGAACAAAGACAAACTGTTCGGAAAGTCTATTAAGACAGATGGAAACACTCATAGGGAAAATCCTTCTACAAAATCATTTCATAATGACACAATTCTGTTGAGGATGATCAGACACACATAGTGCACATACACATTTAGGTGCCAGTTTATGAGGTATAGTTATAACTTATACAGCTATACTGCAGTCCTGCAATAAATCCTACCATCATTAAGGTTACAGTGCTCAGCTTTTGATGAGCTGATTATGTTGAGATGTATTGCGTGATACCGAGAGGTGTTTCTGTTATTCAGCCTACCCTCACTGATACAAATGGGTTGGACAAAATAATAGATACCTATCAGTGTAATGCAATACAATTCTACAGTGCCACAAAATACATCATCAACAAACACCGAACGTTATAACCTTCATGAAGGGTCAATTTGTTGCAGGACTGTTGTATTAATGTATTACCGAAGAAGCCTCCTGGATGAGAGGTGAAACATCTTGAAGTATCATCAGCCACGTCCAATTGTCCTTGATTTTAACCCATCTTGGATAACTATGACCTAGATGACTGACAAACTTGACAGACATAGACTGTAGTTTTAGCCAGGTGTACCTCATAAACTGGATACTGAGTGTACACTACACACTTCAACACACTTAGAAACATAGTGTAGATTCTCATAAACAGGTGTTTACATACAAATTCCACACATTACTCTATAATTACAGCAAACCTAAAACACACACGCACACTAACTTAAATCATCATAACTACTGACCCTGACCGCCGCAGTAACATTAAAACAAATCCTACTATTGAACAGCCCATTGGAGAGGAGAGGACTGGACAAAAAGTTGTCACTTTCCAAACGTATTCACATTTTTTGAAAATGTCTTCACACCCAGGGTCCTACAAGAGCACGCACACACACACACACACACACACACACACACACACACTGGATACATCTGTCGCCTCCAGCTGACATCTGCTTCACCGCAAACCTGCTGTTAGCAACCAGCTGACGGAAGCAACACACACAAACACACACTGCAGTGGTGTGACGGTGTATTTCAAGTTCATGTCTGACCCTGTTTTGGTTTGTACAACAATTTGTCCTCCTCGTTTTGAATCTTGTCTCCTCTCAGTCTCTCTCTTTCCTTTCGTCTCTTCCTCCTTAACTCTCACTTTTCATTCATCTTTTCTTTTCCCAAGTTCATCGTCATTATTGCTGCCTCCTCTCCATCTATTCTTTCTGTTTGCTTTTTCCCCCTTCTACTTTGTTATGTTTTTGTCTTTTCTGGTCAGTCAGTGTAAATCTAAACCTGTAATTAATCCTTTACTTCCAACACGTACTGTCTTAAAATGAGATGAACATGCCTCATATGTTGACGATTTATTGATATTGATTATTGATATTTTGTATTTCAATGTGCTGCCGCAATGAAATGATTTTCTCGTAGTAATTTACTACATTTTCCATTTCAGAAAAGTTTAGTTTATATTTAGGTTTATTTTCAGTATTGTCACTGTCAATGTTTTTGTTTAAGTGCAAGATAGGAAGTCATAACAGCTATTGTTTAATTTATTTGAACATTATTTTCATGAATAATCCCACTTATATAGTTTAGCAACAAGACTACAGCTGTGATGTTGTACTCAGTGGTGCTTAGAACTAAATGCCAACGTTATGCTAACATTATCACAATGAAAATGTTAACATGCCAATGTCAAGCTGGTATAATCTGACCATCTTAATTAAGCAAGTTAGCTTGCTAACATTTGCACAGTTAGTACAAAACACAAATGTAAAGTTGAAGCTGATTTTGTTCATTTTGCAGGTATTCATAAACTAAAGTTTAAAGGACAAATGTTGACTTGATGGTGTTGAGGATCACAAAAGTGATTAAAATTCATCCTGTGGTCAATGTCCCTGCCTATTTTCAAATGTGACCCTCACAGTGGCGCTAGAGGAAAATCAGTATCATTAAAGTTAAACTGTCTGGGAACCATGAATGTCCGTACCAAATATTGTCCCAATCGATCCAGTAGTTTTTTTAGATATTTCAGTTTGGACCAAAGTGGCGGACCGACGACCAACCCTAGAGCCACACGGTTAGCATGAACAAAAAAAAGCACAGCTCAGAAAGAACCTCATATAAACACAGATGGTAAATATCTTTATTTTTTACATGTAGACAAGATAGTCTGATCTCAGAGTGACAAGTTAGATTTTTATTTTACTGCTACACGTTCTATCTTGTTTTGTTTTTAACTGAAAGGAAAATGTAATGAATCAGCGCCTTTTGATTTGGATTTCTGACTCAAAGGTGATAAAACAGCTGCAGGAGAAACGATTTACAGAAGAGTGTGTTTAAATCAGAATTACAGCTCGAGGGGCTGAGCTCAGAGATGAGCTGCTGACAACTCTAATCACACACATACCTGAGGACCAGCTCACTCTCTGTGTGTGTGTAACTTTTGGGTTTCTTCAGTAACGTTTGGAAACAAACAGTCTGACAGCTTTCAGAGCAAAACATATTTCACATTTCACCTCAATGTGCCAATGCCTTTCTACACTGTTTCCCCTCTTGACCCAAAGACATACCTCCTGGAGTCAGAGGTCAACATCAGTCATCACCACTTGAGAAGGATTTACACCCGAAAGAAAAGTACAAAACGAAAATAATATTGGATATGTCATCACTGGAAAGATATTTTAACCTTGGAGTCATCAGATATAATAAAACATTGACTGAGTACTTGTACTTTGGATAGTTGTTAGTATTTTTTGCTGATAATACTTTAAATTAAGGTTTTTTGAATGCAGCTGTGTATCACAATGTGGAATTACAGTTTTTCTCGATTGCTTAAACACATTTCTTGAAATTAGGCCTCTTTTTCTCAAAACTCTAAACACAAATCCACAACTTCTCACCCAATTCCCCACACATCCTATTTTCAGGTCAAAATGAACCATTCAATCTTGCTGAAAAACAAACTTTGCCCCCAGACATAAACACAAGCCCTCAAACACACACACACACACACACACACACACACTGCAACACAGTCTTACACACTGGTGAGATAAATTCAATACTTCAAAAACTGGTTATTAGTAATGTTGCTTGTGATTCTCCTCCTCAAAAAGCTTTTCACATGATAAACACAAAAAAATAAACAACAAATGTATACATTTGCACATTTTTTTTATCCCTTTGTGTGCTTCCTCCTCTCTCCTCATCTGCCCTGCTCCTGCTCTGCTCCGCCTCCTTATACCCTATCCCATCTCCTCCTCCAACTCCTACTGTTCCTTCACCTCTTACTGCTCTCCATACTGATCTTCCTCCTCCTCTTCCTCCCTGGTGTCCTCTAACTCTTCCTTCAGAAGTAAAGAATCTGAGTACTTCTTCCACCACTGCATAACAGGAACCTACATATCAACCTCACAGCTTTACAGGAATCATTGTTGTGTAAATTGTAAAACTTTAGTGTCCAAAGACAGAATCAGATATTTTGTAAACAACAAAGAAACAAAAGTTTACCTTGGGTAGAGGAGAGGAGGAGGCAGGAGGAGAGGAGAGGAGCAACGGCAGCAGGAGCACTGAGATGGTCAACATCTGGAGAGGAGAAATGCGGAGGAAAGAAGAGGAGAAGCGAGAGAGGAGATGATAACAGGAGAGATGAGGAGGATAGAGGAGAGGAGAGAAGAGGAGGAGACGAGGAAAGAGAAGGAGAGAAGAGAAGAGATGAAGCGAGGAGGAATGAGGAAACATTTATTAGATAAATAATCATTAAATTATCTCAATAAAAAACAAATACTTACAATTTTAACAGTAAAACTACTCATTTTACATGCTCACTTCTATTAATTGTTATTACTGCTACTGTAGTACTGCTATTACTCCTACTACTACTATGAATACTGCTACCATCTATGATAATAATAATAATAATAGCATTAAAGCAGCCGTACCGTGTCAGTCGAAATTCGTTCGTCCAGAAGATGTTGATCTGAATTCAACCAGTCAGCATTAAAACAGCCTAAGAACCAGTCAATCGGTATAGTTGGATGTTGTCACTCTACTGAAAAAGTAATCATAAAACTATCCAGAGAATCAGTCAGGTGGTGAATTAATATCCAAATAGTCAGAATGGATCCATTTAAATGACTTTATATGCAACGATCAGTGAAGCCATCTGCTTTGCTCTGCAGTGAAACAACCTCTGAGCTACAAAAAGAAAGAGGAGGAGGAGGGATGTTGGGAGAGAAAGAAGACCAGCTGTCCAGAGTCACCCCTCCTCCCCCACCTCCCTCCTCCATGCAGCCTCTGAAACACACACACACAAAACTCAGCATCCAGACACAAACACAAACACACGAGCTGCCTTCTTGAAGAATGATAAGTTAAAGGCACGCGACCAGCTGACATGTTCAGACAACATTTGCAACAGCCGAGGGGAGACAACGAGGTGAAATTATTAGTGACAAAAAATACATGATTACTGTGCAAAAACCTCTTCATGTTTAGATTGTGTTGTTAGGACCTGAATGATCCAAACTGCCAACTTTTTATTACAAAAGGATAAAATAAAGAAGCTTATTTTTAAAATTCAAATTCCTGAGTGACCCATAACACAGTCATCCAGTTGAAGAGCAGCTTTCCACACTTCACATAACAACAAAGCAATAATAATTAAACTTAATATAATATCATAAATAAAACTAATTTAAAAATTGAAATTTATTAGTAATTTCAGTTAATAGTATTCTATTAAGTAATGTGTAATTATTATGTATTTTGTAAGTTTTTATGTTTTTGTAACAAGTATTGCATGTAGCCTATTAGCCTATGTATTTTTATTACGTACTTTTAGCTCACTTCCTCAGTAGTCACCTTATCTTCTATACCTGTTTCTCACCGTGAGAGTAAGTTAACATTCATATATGCTTTGAAAAGAGGTGGATGCAAATCTCAGCAGATGGTCAATAACATCTGCCTCCAACAGCACGTTGGCTCTGTTGTAATGCTACACTGTGACCAGCAGAGGACAGGGTCACCATGTTGCATACATGCAATTTAAGTATTAGCTGGAATAATGCTGCCTGGCCCCAAGTTTTCTGTCTGTAAATTCATCTGTAGTATTTTTCATAAAATTATTTTTAGACCACAAATCTACAACATAAACAGAAAGTTTAAGGGCTTATTGCTCCTCTGCAAGAAAGAGCCACAGCATCAGGTAATAATGCAGGTTGACTAAGTTGTTATTTTACTGATATTTGTAACAAAACAAGTTAACACCCAGTGATCTTAGGCTTTCCGGATCCTATAGATCTGGGGCCCTCTTTGCTAGTTTGTAATCCAGCCATGATAACTTTACAAATACAATCATCTTAAAGTGATCTCTTTGGGAACACAAATGTTCTCAGTGTTTTAATTTGGTCAAGTTCAGCTTCAAACTTTTCCCATTTGCTCCCTCGCTCTCTCTCTCTCTCTCTCTGGTGTGACTGTCAGCTGTGTGTCAGAGGAGGTGCTGAGGTTCAGATAAACCCACCCTCCTGGTGTGCGCTGTAACACCAATGGAGCACTTCCTAAAAATAGCACAGAGAGGTCAGCCAGTGTGTGTGCACATAATTCGCGTGTGTGTGTCTTTTAAGGAAAGGTATGTTATCGTTCTTCTTGTGATCTTAATGCAAGATGATAACAGAGGTGTGATACATGCAAAGACACACTGAAATGCACACACACACACACACACAGATGATGACAAGAAGGAAAGGTCTGCTCAGGCTCTCCTCGTGTCTCTACATCATTGAATCTCTGGTTCTTTCAGAAGAGATGATCAAACCCTTGGGTTGAATCTAATTTACAATTTTCATTATCAATTAATATTTTGGTTGTTTTTTCATGAATTATTTTATGCTTAAAATGCCCAACAAAAGTATTTAGGATATAAATTTTGCTAGAAAAGCAGCAAATCCTCTTGTCCTTGAAGTTCTAACCAGTGAACGTTATAACGTTGTAATTTGTGCTTGATAAATTACTTGAACCTCAAAAAACTCTAAATTCACTGAAGACTAAATTACTAATGTTTCAGGATTGTACAGCCAGCGCGAAGCACCATGATATACTTCATAAACATAAAAACATTTGATACACACAAAATCTTTACATGTCACACAATTTTTGTAACCTCTCACTCAAAGAGCAAAATGTCATCTCAAATCTCCAAAACCATTAGCTATTTCTCAGCCTTTCACGCAGTTTTCAGTTGCGTAAAACCCTTTTTTAAAACACTACACATAATTCTCTACTTAAGTCACAAAAATCTAACAGGAAGTGACTTGCTTTCCTTTCCAAAACACAACAAATCAAAACAACACTTATTCACCAGGTCACACAGCCACTCCTTGCATGTGCAAACACTAACGCTAACATTAACTGATCACTAACCAATCACTGCTTTAGTTTACAGTAGACCTATAGGTCATTGGCCAGATTACCTGTTTTGAACAATGGATGCCTACGATGGACAGAGAGCAAGGGGCGGGGGGGGGGGGGGGGGTCAACAGCAGGTTGACCATGAGAGAAGCTGGACTCAGAGTTAAGCCCAACTTGAGTCGCTTTTCATTGGCGTCCATAATTTGAACCTTCAGAAATTAAAAATTCTTTCTACAGTACATTATTGTAAAATAAGTATACATTTGTTGCAATAAAAGTAAAACTTACACTTTTGGTTTACATATGTTTATGGTTTGCTTTCCCTGTATGCTACTCACCTGTCAGCAGATTACTTTCACTCTACAACATTATATGGAAATGTACACATAAGCCTATGAAAGACAAAAGTGCTTTAGATTTGGAACAACAGTGTGCAAATGGTATATCAAAGAACTTACTATCTTGAAAAAAGTGTTTGCCATCTGATGCAAATGCTTCATTTTGGAATGTGCTTGTGACATTTTGAATGCAGTGTAGGACATTTGAGACATTTTGCATTTTGTGTGAGCAGTTGTGGGAATTGTGTGTAGAGTTTTGAAAAAAGGTGACATGGTTTTGAAAATGTGTGAAGCAGTTGGAAAAAAACTGTAAGTTAGTAAACTGAAGTAACATCCTATGAAAGTACCTCTTATAACTCCATGGTAGTTTATTTGGAAATTTGATGTCATTGAACAAATAGAAATATACAATATATGTATATAGTTTTGTTGTGATGGAAGGTACAAGCTGCCATTACCTGAAGCTGTTTTGAACTAGACTTGTTTATCAGTACCACACATCGTGCAGGCTTTGTAAAAAGCATGAATTACTGTTTAAAAGTTCAGCTTTGATGAGAAGGTCATAAACATTATTTATCGTGAAGGAATACTGATAAGGATTCAAGACTAAGGATAGTCTTGTTCCAACTTAATGGCTTGTCTGTTGGAACAGATGAGAAAGAGGCAGGAGTTTCAATGCAAAGAATTTGCGATCTATGCTTTTTAGTATTCAAATTAAATGATTTAATCAATGAATTGTTTCAGCACTAAACCTAACCATGTAGTTTTGTTGTCTAAACCAGACTTTTTACAACGTTAACTACTACTTTTATTTTGAAAGTTTAACCAGACATTACATATGTATTGTCGCCAACTGGACTGCGGAGCTCTAGACGTTAGTGCGTTAAAAACGCAACGCCAAGGGGTCTTGACCAAGCGTCCATATGTGACGAGAAGAGAGTGAGAATGTGTTGCAAAGGGTTTTCCACAGGTGAGCTGGCTGCCAATTTTGATTCTGAGGCTCTGTCCATCCAGGAAGGCAGGTAGAGGAAGGATAGAGTGGGATTCAGGTCTGGAGTTGCGTGAAAGACGGCTTTTGCCAAAATGAAATGAAAATGAAAAAAAGTTCAAGGAAGGTGCAGCTTTCCACTGTTTTATCGCCTTTATCTAACTCACATACTGTGTTGGTTTTGTTCTTATTTAGGCAGAGAAGTCTTATTTTCTACTTCTTTTGTTTTGTTGCCCAGTAGTTAGTCCCTCGTTTAGGAGGGATCTCTTTTGATAATATTGTTTTCATTTGTTTACGCAGCACCATTTTCCATTTGTAGATGTTGGTGAAACTCTCGCCTTCAAATATTCAACTTCCTTTTACTAAGAACAACTGGTTTACGTGTACGTCTCTTTGGGTTCTCTCCGGGTGCTCCGGCTTCCTCCCACCGTCCAAAGACATGTGGCCTAGGTTAACTGGTGGCTCTAAATTGTCCTTAGGTGTGCGTGCGTGCATGGTTGTTTGTCTATGTGTGGCCCTGCGATGTACTGGATGTACCTCACCTTTCACCCGATGTCAGCTGGGATTGGCTCCAGTCCCCCGTGACCCTGTATGCAGGATATGCGGTTGACCTCATTTTTAAGAACCCGTGTTGAATCAGTCAGGTCGATTATTCAAGATCCAACTTGTGAGCCTCCGGTTAAGTATTGTTGTTCACCAGCATGTTTTAAGTGTCACATGGTGTAACCACAGTTTCAGATGAATTGAAGGGGAACTCTGATCTTTACTACACACACACACACACACACACACACACACACACACGCACACAATAATCGCCTGGAGGAATCAGTCTCCATTTGACACTATCACAAGTTCACTAGAAAAAAGACATCTTCCATGCTGACAAAAGAAGCCTTGAGCTAAATTCGGTTATTATATTTAACCCCTCTGTCATCCTGAGGTCACGGATGGTTGTCACTTTACTGCACAGTCTGCTGTGACTCAGATGACTTGTAGCATTATTAATTTATTTGACGTATTGTTTATTTACAGTTAGACAAATAAATTAGCTTAGATTTATGAGTTGAATTGAACTGACCTTGAGTTACAGTGAAATTGCAAAAAGAAAAGTGGGATACCAAAAGTATATAACAATACAATTGTTCCCATGACGCCTCTGCAGGGGCCCTGACAAACAGCAGGAAGACATGATCCCTTACCGGCTTCCCACATCATCAACTGACTATTGTATTTGTTAGAAAGGCCAGAAGCAATGCTCCTTATATTTCCATTTAGAATTTTGTGTTAAAAGACGTGAATGGACACACAACACATAAGTGCAGTGTAGGTATACAGTATCTAGTCTATGTACTGCTGAATCCAAAAGGAGAGTCCTACATTTGTCTTATTTATTTATCATGAGCGTTTTTGTCTTCAATACGTCTTCTGTTTCTATATCAGCAGAGTGACACGTGTTATTTTGTCATTTTTATAAATGTCTTGTGTATCCAATCAATAATGCAAACTAAAAAAATAAATAATTCATAAAAGTAATGACACATTTCATATTAAAGGAGCAGTGCAACATTTTAGGTCATAAGCAGTGAGCTGGTATACAGGCATTGTTTTAGACAGAGTGTGAGGAGCAAGCTTGTTAAAGTATGCTCGTAGAGTCCTCTGATGTTTGACTGGTCCACCAATAGGGGAGAAGTTAATCACTTGACACACAGCCCCTCCTTATTTGCATAATGAGGCAGAAATGCATAGAGAAAAGTAAAAAGGACATGCAGAAATAAATACCATTGGGGAAATAAATAGGGCAGAAATGCAAAGGAAGAATAAAACAGACAAAAATAATAAAACACACACATAAATAAATACATTTAAAAGTAATTAATAAAAAAAGTTGAAGATGATAACGGACAATAAATAAATAAGGTAATTATTATAAAGGTGAATAAATAAATATTAAAATATATATATACATTTATGTCTCATTGTATAATTTAATTACTGCCTACATTTATTTATTTACTTTATTTTTTGAGCATTTAATCAGATGCTTATTTATTTATTGAGCATTTAATTATTTCTGTATTTATTTCTTAATCTGTCAGGATCAGTCCTCCATACTCATTTAACTCTTGGTAAGAAAAAGCATACTTCCAGAAATGTCAAACTATTCCTTAAAGTAAAATGTAGCAATGAAGATCACAAATTACTAAGAGTTACAAAAGAGTTGCTGCTCTTTAAATTATACGATATTATTAGAATTATTATCTGTATTCAGCACAAGTTGATGGAAACAATAGTTATTTGATGATTGGCTTGCTGACTTTTTTGGAACTTTGTTTAAAAATTGGACAAAATGTATATGGGAACTTTCTATTTATCTATTTTCTCGCACTTAGAGTGTTCAAGCCTACCGGTACTTTAAATTTAAGTTGGTTCTCAGTCACACTGACAAAGCGACCGAACACAGAGACGAAGTGAGACAGAGAGAGAAGGAATGCAGGACTGGGACCTGCAGCCATTGTGTCCTCATACAATATCTGACTTCCTTTAGATGCCAGACACCACAAACACACACACACGTACATACATAAGAGTTGAATAGCAGGCAGCAAGGCACCAGGCCCATTTCCTCTGCTGCAGATGTAGGCGATGGAGAAAGAGAGAGAGGGAGGGAGGGAGGGAGAGAGAGAGGGAGAGAGAGAGGGAGAGAGAGGCTGGTACAAACTACAGTCTCACACATATTTCAGTTCAGACCTCTGGACACACACTGCTGTCATCTGTCTGCTGCTGGACCACCTGTCTCACTTTCAAATCAACTGTATTTCTTTGTACACTTGTTCATCTGTTTGTTTCGGTGTTTTTGAAGCCGTTCTTCTTCATTCAACTTAAGTTGGACAGCAACACACAAAAGTTGCGACTAGGGGAAGACATTAATACACATAAAACAACTGGAAGACACTTGAACCGGTGCAACCACCTCTCATCTTCGGCTGCTGGCCGCTGAGGTTCACTGGAAGGGGAAGAAATGCCTTGCTCAAAGGCAGCTCAGTAAAAACTCCTGAGGGAGAGGAGAGCAGCCGCTTTACCAACTTTGTCAAGATTTTCTCAGGACTACTGTGATTCCCTGCCTCTTACTCCTAAATCAGGTAAAGTGTGTATATTCGTCCACCAGGTAGATTCTTAAACCCAACACATTGAATAGTTTGGCAACTAAACACAAATTTCAAGTATTTAAATTTGATTCAACTTTCACCATTTTTGAGTTTCCTTATTAATCATATCCCTGTCATAGTAGAACTAAATACATTTACTCAACTACTGTACAAATTTGAGGTACTTGTACTTGAGTATTTTTCTATTTTATGCTACTTTATACTTCTACTCGACACCATCTCAGAGACAGATATTGTACATTTTACTTCACCACATTCGTCTGCCGGCTTTTGTTACTTTCCAGATTACAAAAAGTAACGAAAGCCCTCTTGTCTTGTGAAAACCATGTATCTCCAAAGTTGGTGATTTTGAATTAGAATCGTTCTGATAAACTAAAGGATAAAGTTTGTTTATGATGAAGTCATCCTCCTTCTTAAGCTAAATAAACAATTTGAACCCCTCCTGGATCAGCGGAAAAATGCATCGTCACAAAGCTGGAAACAGGGCTGTTTCTGAGCTCATGAAAAGTTCACTTTTTAGAGATATGTGTTTCTCACAAGACAGCAACATTACAAATATTTGATCTTATAGAATATGATGCTTTGCTGTAGATTAAATTACCCAACAGCATATAAAAGTGTTTAAACGAGCTCAACAACAAACATCTGCTGCAGTAAATGCAACTTAGACATTAATGCAGCAGGAAAATGAATCTAGAAACATCAGATATAACAGAGAAACACTGACAGGGAATATTTTACTGAGTACTTTTATTTAAGTAAGGTTTTAATTGCAGGACTGTTATAATGTAGTATTTTCACAATGTCGTATTACAGAGTACTTTTACTTAATTAAAGGATCTGAATACTTCCTCCACCACTGGAAACAACTAACTCTCCACTCAAACTAACATTTGTGACATTTCTCAAAAAGCATTTTGAGAAAGTGCTCAAAACAGCCATGTTAGGCCTATAAGTTAGGTGTTAACATTTAAATGCAGAAACAAGAAAACCATCGCAGGTTTAACAGGCAGAGTAGCTGTGGTCAGGAATCAGCCGCTGTCATCATAAACAAAGTGCACCTCCGATATCTGATATCCGATATCTGATGTGTCAGTGACAAACAGGCAGACAGATGATTTAATAAGGCCGTATTCTGGCAAATAATGTCTAAAGTTCTTCAAACTTGTGTTAAGATTATTTCCTTCCAAACTTCTTAGCATGAGGGGAAAAACTAAAATATAAATATAAACCAAACAAATGTTATTTGTAAATGTTTCAGGAATCAGTGAAAAAAAAGGCTTTTTGATTAATGTGAACACATTTGTTATCATGTTGACCTATTAATACCTTGTAAAATATATATAGTGTAAGTTATAAATACTGTTTATTATCAGACTAAAAACATCCTCAGGTCTAACGGTTTATCATTTATTATTGTAAACCAGCAGAGGATCTTTGGGTGTGTGTGTTCGCCCGTTATCAAGACAGGATGCAGAACAATGCTGAGTGCTGGGTAATAGGCACACATACACACAAACACGGACACACACGTTTGCAAAGGTCAGGCGAAAGTCTATACAAGGAAGTAATATTGTTATTAATGATGCTGGGAGCACTTGTGAAAGACATAAATACACACAAATATACACACACACAGTTTGTTCAAAGCTATTGGGTTTTACAAAAACAGGAAGGGAGGGGCATTTAAGGGACATTTAATAAATAAGGGACTATCAATGGTTTAATGTCTTTTTTTCCCCACAGGCAAAGTTCGTTTTAGTCTTGTTCATAGCTTTTTATTTGAAATTAGGACCGTTTGAACCATGAGTCTTCTGAAACAGACTTTAATAATTGAATCCTACAGTTAAAAAAATACAAGTTGAAGTTATCTATTAATGATATAGATCAGCGATCAGTCACATGTGCGGCCCCACCATAAACATGTGTTTGGCTTGTTGTTGATCCACTGGATGTTTGAGCTTCACTGTACAGAATGATGCATGTGCAGATACGCATCTGCTGAAGGAGGAACGTTTCTCTGTGCTCAACTAAAATTTCAATTTAAGACATGGCTGTACGAGCAGGACTTTGTCACATTACAATTCTGCAAGCCAATCAGGATCCAGTATGCAACTTACACAAGTGTCATGTGGAAACTTAAAACCTGCTGTGCAGATATGAAAATGAACTTTTCAGTGAAGTAGGAGACATCTGGTGTGCAGCAGCTAAACTTTTCAAACAGGCAATATTTCCATATTCAGCCCATCGTCACCTCAAAAACGGCCATGTAAGTTGTTTATTAATTCAATTCAATTCACTTCAAATTAGCTTTATTGGCATGAATGTGTAACAACAAGATTGCCAAAGCATCATATATACAACACCAAAGAGGTGTTATATCAATTATCAATTATTATATAGCTTATTATGACCCCTATTTGCAATTTCTGGTAGGCCGCAACCTCCAGTGGCAGAAGAAGTCAGGTGACGTAGTATAAAGAGCAACAAAGAGGGTGGTGGGGTGGACGGATGTGTCAAGTTAGCTAAGGACTTTCACTCAGGAGAACGATGTTCGAGTCCTGTATAGAAGAAAGTCAAAGATGACATGTTAATAACATTTTGTAGATGACTCACCTCATGTGACTAACTTTACTTATGTCACGTGATGTATTTATTTTAACCCAAACCAACTTTCCAACGGACATAGATGTCGTTTAAGAACACTTGACAATTAAGCTATTTTGACATTTGGTATGAGGACGTGTTGGCATATTCATAGATTCTGGATATTTGTCCACGAGGGAGAACGAGTGGATGTCATTTAGAGAATTTGTAACAAGATTATTGAACTTTGTTGTGGAAAAAAAAGCTCAGACACACATTAGTATTCAAAGCAGAGCATCTTTATATGCCTTTTAAAAAGTATACACTGGAACAGTGTATACTTTTTAGTTGTGAGTTGTTCACTAGATAACCCAAAGAACAAAAGTGGCAACAATATTCATCCGATCACACTAAAAATATCTAGAGATGCAGTTCTCTTGTGTGCCTTTCTTTCTCCTCTTAATAATCTACCCCACGCTGCTATTCTGGCCAAGAGATAATTTATCTCAAGGGACTTAAATAAAGATGAAAAAAATAATTTTTTTATTAACTTACAACTATCTAAAACATAAATGGGAACAACATGTGCTTTTGGTGTCAGGGCGAAGACTTCTTAAAAAACCTTTGCATTGACTTTCAGCTGTCTTACAGGGAGAATTGCGGGGGAGGAGGAGATTTTCTGTAATAATAAGTAACAATGCAATACATGTAACCTTTTAGTCTCTTTTTTATAACTCTACATCAAAGTTATGAGGAAATTACCTCTTACTGAGTCATTATTACAAAACACAACATCACTGGAACGTGTCATGCAGTCAGATTACCGGGAAATTTACTTTCTTGTTCTTCAGCGAGCACTTACTCCCTGGACAAAAACTTTTTTAACTTCACTTCTGGTTCTAATGAACACCAAAGCCTCTTTAGGGACTGCTAGCCAAGCTTCAGACTTCTGGTCTTATTTGTGTTTTACAGAGGAGGAAAACAGTAGTAGTACACACAGCATACATAAACATACCCACATATCCACAGTGACAGAGAGAAGGACAGACTATGTGTGTGTTTACAGTCGACGTCTAGTTTTCCTTCCCCAGAGACAGACGGAGGGAAGTGTGGGAACCGAGTATGAAGCTAAACTAAGACATGGGCGCAGACATTTTTATTAATGGGGTCGAGGCCAGGGTGGAGAGAGGGTCACGGGGTCAAGATAATATAAGAACACACATACACACACTTGCTAACCACCATCAGACACCAAGCAGTCAGGTTGCAGCAACAACCAGAACAAACTGTGTTCTTCAGTGGTGTTTCCATCCAAATTTAGTGCAAATATTTTATGAATTTTCAGATCATTGGCAAAAGAAAAAGTGAATTTATGTGTGTTTTATGACTGCATATTAGGGCCATCGTGGTTTTGTGCAGGCGGGATATGGGGCAATAATCTGAAGAAAAAACACATTCTGAAATTAAAGTCTTACATTTATGAGAAAAAAGTGGCACTTTATTACTTTATTATTAATGCAAGACAAGAGTCAGTGCAGGCATAAGAGGGGGAGGGCCAACAAAGCCACAGATCTTAGCCAGTTTTTTATGGTTTTGGTCTTTGAGATGGTATCTCATGATACTTGTTGGCTAAGTAACAAATTTTCTGCCTCAGTGTCCTGTCTTTGGTCTAGGACAAGCCAGAGATTCTTGTTCTCCACCTCTTTCTTCACCTCCTCCTCCTCCGCTCTACTCTTGCTCCGCGTCCTCCTACTCTTCCTCATTCATTTAAAGAACATTACTGTCTCCTTATCAGTCCACACTGATCTGGGCGTTTCCTGCTAACAATTGATCTTAGTTAAAAGAGTTTTCTACGAAAGCTCTTAGATTTCTACTTATGCTTCTAACTGTATGCTTAAGTCTATATAACATACTGCAGTCACAATATCTCACATCTTGTATATCTTCTTATTGTGCAGCCCTTTAAGAATAACAAAACATTTTAATGTAAATTTAAAAAATAAATCCAGAGGTCTGTGTGTGAGTTTTAGTGACATTGATATTCTATCAAAACAGATATAACGTTCAATGCAACAAGCTAACAGGTTCTGTATGTTTAAAGGTGGCTGTTTGCTTTATCTAAGGAACACGTTTTCACACTATCTGAGTTTTGGCATTCTGGAAAATGTGGGAAATAACTAACCGAAGCAAAAGTAGATCGTGGATAGGCAAAAATAGATGCATAATCTATGTAGAATAGTTTTACACAAAATAAGTCCCAACATTTATTGAACATAATAAACAATTTGAGATATACATTGGTGCAGCAGTATGTAAGGGTGGAGAGCGCTGTAACATTTTCTTTGGCTGAAGTCTCGTACATATTTGTCTCTGTCAACAAATGAGCCACCTGACCCTGCTGCAGACATGACACCTGTGTGTGCTGTCTGTTCCTCAGGTGAGTCTCTTACCTGCAAAGTGACTGCTGAGAATAAATCTGAGCTGAGCCTGTGATCGGTCATGGCAGACTGGAGCCTGCTGGGAAACTTCTTGGAGGAGGTACAAGAGCACTCTACCTCTGTCGGCAAGGTATGACACACAAACAGACGCGTACATGTACACACTGCACATACTGTATACCAGCCAGCGCGGCACCAGAGTGACTTCCTCTGGACATGCTGGGAAAAAAGATAAACAGACATAAACATACTCAAAATAAAACATACTCAAAATAATACAGTAGTATATTTCTAAAATCATCATGTTTTTATTTTGAGCATCCTGACCCATTGTCTAATTTAATAATAAGCAGAAGTTTATGTTAGCATGGGTATGTTTGTTTACATTGTACATCCCTAGAAAAAATCATTAAGCTTTAAAATAATCTAAAATAACAACAAAATGTTTTATGTAACTGCCTCAAAAATACCCCAATACCTGTTCATATTATCTTAAAGTAATGCTTCTATTATAATTTCTCCTCACACATTATTTTTTATTTAATTTAAACTTTATTATCCTTGAGTACTGAAACAAAATGCGTGAGCAACATGTAATTTAGTCATTCAGTCATGTAGACAAAACCTTTTTATGGCATTTTCAAAAAATCCTCATTACCTCATTAGTTCTGTACAGTATCCATATTATTGTTTCTGATGGCTTGATATTTATTTTTATATATGTTATAAATATCTTATTTGCTGTTTTTCTCTCCACAGGTGTGGCTGACCATCCTGTTTATCTTCCGTATCCTGGTGCTCGGTACTGCTGCCGAGTCATCATGGGGAGACGAACAGGAAGATTTTGACTGTGACACTGAACAGCCGGGTTGCGAGAACGTTTGTTACGATCAAGCTTTCCCTATCGCACATATACGATACTGGGTAATAAACACAACCTAACGTCATGTGATGAATACAGAGATAAAATGATGTGGGAAAAGGCTACAAGTCGCATTTACTTTATGGTGTTGCTTACCAATGTTTAAAGTATGCCACAAGTTTTAAGCTTTCCTTTTATTTCAGTACAGAAAATTAACTTGCAGCTGCTGGGTCCTTGTTTTTTTATATCACAGCTAATATTACACCCTTTTCTTTATGCGCTTCTGCAGATGCAAGCAAGGACTGATGTTGCATTTAAGGAAACTCTACCATCTAGATTTGTGAAGTCTTTTACATAACCTAATCATATTATATAGGAACATGGGTCATGGAGAAGATGTGAGAAGTCTCAGATGTTAGAGCACGCCTGCTTGTACCAGCATTACCATTGCAGTGACCAACATACTAAACTGGATGCACTGAAAGGCAAATCTCCCTCTAATTGAAACATGAAAGACCAGTTTGAATGGATATTCAGAGTCCTGCAAGTTGAAATTGGGGCATGGGAAACAAAACAAATTTGCAAGACATATCACACATTATCATAGTTGAATCTGGGAGCAGTAAGAATGCAATTAATCTTCATATTTATGGTGTGTTTTTACGTGGTTAGCAGTGATGCATAGTCTTTTAGAAATGTGGTAAATTGCCTCAAACTTGTTAGCTTCGTCATTTAATTTTAATTCAACTGGTTTTAATTACAAATCTTGCTCGTCTCCTCCCAGGTGCTCCAGATTGTGTTTGTGTCCACTCCAAGTCTGATCTACATGGGCCACGCCATGCACACTGTTCGCAGAGAGGAGAAGAGGAGGAGCAGAGAGGAGGAGGGGGGAGGGAGGGAGGAGGACCCAGGAGGAGGTGACGGAGGAGGAGGAGGAGGAGGAGGAGGAGGAGGAGGAGAAAAACAGGGGAGGGAAGGAGAGGAGGTTGAAGGAAATGAGAAAAGCGAAGGTCCATCAGCAGGTCGAATCCGTCTGAAGGGAGCGCTGCTGAAGACCTACATACTGAGTATTCTGATACGAAGCATCATGGAGGTACATGATACAATTACTGCTGCTGCCCTACTACTATCAGCTCTGTGGGTAAATAAAAAAGTTTTAGTTTTGAGGCACATTTACTGTTTGGTTCAGTACAGCACCCATTTCTAGCAGCAGTAGGCAGCTGTTTTCAGCAAACCAGCATTGATAATGTTGATGTTGAGGCAGAAGTACAATTAATTAACAAGTTATGGTTTCCCTTTTTTTTATTATTATTTTGTTATTAGTGATTAAGTAAAGCAGATTATCTCTTATCTGTGCTCCATTGTGTTGTACATTAGCCATGACAATCTAACATACTGCATGATATATCATGATAATCCAAGGAAGGTTAAGATCAAGAGCAACTGGACTTGGTTATAGAGACTCGAAGCAGTTCGCCCCTTTCTTAGATGAGGGACGAAACGTCTTTGAGTATCCTCAACCAAGTCCAGTTGTCTCCCTGATTTTAGCCTTCCTTGGATTACTAAGACCCGGATGAATGATAACCTTTGAAGATATCATTATAATGGTATTTTAAACCAAAACGTACTTGAATGAGAGATTAAAGCAAAAAGGAGAAGGGGGGTAAATAAAACACTATAAATCAATATAGTGTAAAACCAGTGGTGGCAAATAACCAAGTACATGTACTCGCGTTCTGTACTTTAGTACAGTTTTGAGGTACTTTTATTTGAGTAATTACGTTTTCTGCTACTTTATACTACTACTACACACTAAAAGATCTGAGTACTTTTTGTTTTGAGTAAAACAATGCAGCTGACTGTGATTGGACGCCCATACAGGTGGTGTTTCTGTGTCTCCAGTACTTCCTATATGGAGTCTTCCTCAATCCTCTGTATGTCTGCAAGGTAAAACCCGAAACCCAGATCATTTTGAATTCCTGCTACATCTAAAACAAGATATTCAATTATATACTCTCCCTCCCTCTCAGGCCTGGCCGTGTCCACATCCAGTGAACTGTTATGTCTCCAGACCGACAGAGAAAAACATCTTCATAGTGTTCATGTTGGTTGTGTCGGCTGTCTCTCTGGTCCTCAGTGTGCTCGAACTGCATCACCTGGCATGGAGACGCTGCTGCAGGTGCGTGTTCTTATTCATAAACGCATTGATTTGAGTTTAAAAAAAGACAACATTACTGCAGGAAATTACCATAGGCTCTCTGTAACATCTAAAACACCACAAAGCCATGGATGTATGTGTGTTAAGTCCTCTGCTCTCTGGAGAAATCCAGGAACAAGTTAGTTAGTAAAAAACAAAAAAACACTATAACACTAAACACTATAGACACTATTGTACTTCAACACAATATAAAGACCCCATGAAGAACGATTGAGTCAAAAACCAACCAGTGGTGCTGTTGGGAAAGGCATTTTTTTACCTCTCTGCCAATTAAATGGCTTTCAAGAGATCTTGTTATCTTGATTTTGTTGACTAAATTTGCACTTTGACCTTACATATCTGAGATAAATAACCCATCATGGTGAGCGTCCCATTTATTAATTGGTCAGAGTTAAAGTATCATTGTCATGTTTGCTGCCTGGTGGTTAAAGGTAGCTTTGACATGTACATGTTGCTGATGCTAAATTCAGAATGTTTTACGTCTAAACATCCTGGGGTTGCAAAGCAGCAGTACCTTTTTTAACAGAACAAGCGATGATCATAAAGGTGACTAAATATTAAAGTCTGAAAGCTTTAAAAAAAGCTTAAAAATAAATAAATAAAAAAGAGTAGCCTGTCCCAAAAAAAGGATTGAATTAAAATGTATAGAGTCAGTAATGCATGGATATGCAGTTTTTGGGGGAAGGGGAACTCCACCGATTTTAAGCATCAAAGTCAATTTTCGCATCACAAGGAGTCCCATTCAACCAAAAACAGCTGTTTAATGTTGTCTGTGGCTCTGGGGAACTTCTGTAAAGTCTGAGATTATAAATGTGATGATATTATCAGGGTTACAGTAACTTGGATCAAGCTTGGGGACTTAAAACGTATAACAGAAAGCCTGTGTTTCAAGCTAGGGGCACTGACTTTAAAATAAATGGGCATTTACCAGGAAGGGAGATTCAAATAAAAAGCCACACATGAATGTAGAGGTTTTTGCAGCTTGAACTATACTAGGGACTGAAAGTCAGGATATCTTGGCCTTTAACTTTATGGAGGTAAAATACTACATTGTTGGCTTATAACCAGAACAAAAAAATATGACCACATTACTCCTATTTTAGCTTCATTACACTGGCTCCCAGTGTGTTTTAGAATTGACTTTAAAATGTTATTGATCACTTTTAAAGCTCTTCATGGCCTCTCGCCTTGTTATATTTCTGACCTTTTAGTCCCATACGCACCAGCACGTACCTTGAGATCCTCGGGCAGAGGTCTGTTGTCTGTTCCAGAGTCTCGACTGAAAACTAAAGGGGACAGACAAACAAAGTTCTTGAAACATCTAAAGTACATTTCCCACACCGAGAGTTCTATAACTATTTTCAGCCCCCTGTGATTCAGCTTTTACTTCCTGTAATTACACGTAAAAGCCGAACTGTGTGAACAAAAACCCTGGGGCCGGAAACTGGGTGCCCACTTCTTCTGAGAACAAACAGCCAACTTCCAGAACATCAAATAGCATATTAAACCTGACTTACTTATTGGTTCTACAAGAGCACATACCATAGTTTAACAACTTCTTACTGGAACTCATGCTACAGTTAAAACATCTTGTTTACTAATCTAGTTCTTTATGGTGAGATTGTATCGTATCTGTTAACTGGCTAAAACTCTCTTGCAGGCAGTTCTTCACAGAGAAGGCCGTCACTCCTGCCAATGCTTTGCTGGCGCGACAGCTCTCTCTGTCTCCTCCACCGCCGTCAACCCCCCCTCCAGACTTCAGCCATCGTGTGATTGGCTCCTCACACTTCATGCCCCTCCCTTTCCCTAACCACCGTCTGGCTAACCAACAAAACTCTGAGAACATGGCCACAGAGAAGCACAAAATGGCCGTCGCTGTGGAGGGGGTAAACGTCCTCCAGATGAGCTGCTACCCTCCCGGGTGGCAGGGCGCTAGTAATAATCAGATCCAAGATGGCGGATACCTGACGACCGATACTAACTGCTACAGCCCTGGGAGCAGGGAGATCAGCTGCCCTAAGATCCTAAATGGCGGCCCAGACGAGCTGTTGCTTTGCCCAAATGGAGGGCTCTGTCAGACAGACAAACGAAGATTCAGCAAAACCAGCAGAACCAGCAGCCGCACTAGAGCAGATGACCTCTCTGTTTAGAAAGAAAGACGAAACTGATGAGTTCAGCTCCTCATACACCTGCTACATTACATGCTGCCCATTTAGCATGAATGCTAACTCTGTTTTTCTGCCATTAAAAAGAGTGAAACTCCACTCTGACTTGATTAGGAGATAATTCCTTCAGACATTATTCTGCTCGTAACACGACAACAATGGAGAACTCAAAGATTGCACTAAACTCTGACCACAATCGGACTTTGGGGTGTTCAGGTTAAAGTTTAAGTCTGTATGTGTGTTTTTTTTTAAATCAAAAAACAGGACAGTACATGTAGAGTTGTCATGAGAGTCATCTAAATGCAGACAATCCTTAAAAGCGGCTCACACTGTGATTTTACCCAACACTTTTGAAGCTTGAAGGCGCAACTGAAATCTTCCATCCATTTGTAGCCGCAAGCTGAATGTCTACAAACCTGAGATGAGAAAGAGATCACAATCACAATGCACTCAACGTTTAGGTGCTATGTATATTTTCCTCAAGCCTACTATGGTTTGTTACTTTTTGAAAATATTACAATTTCTAAACTGTTTTTATTTATGCAGTTCAGTGACACATTTTTGCTGAAACTTTTATACAATCGTCAGCTGTAATATTTACATTTATCTCTAAATTTCAGAGGAGTGGACACGAGTCACATGATTTGCACTCTAGTCAGATTCAAGTCACATATGTTGACTTTACAAAATCAAAAAAGACTTGCAGCTGGACTTACCATCAGTGACTTGTGACTTCACTTGGACTTGAGCGTTTTGACTTGAACTGTCTTGATAGCCTCCCCGAGCCCAAATATAAATTATGATATAAAAACAACTGTGTGCAACGCATCAGTTTAACAGATTACAGTTTGAATCCAACAGCAAGCAATCAAACTGTGTGAGCAGAGAAAAGTTGCGAGTGCAGAATCCCAAAAGTTGTAATTTTGGGATATAAAGACTATGCTGTAGTCAAGAAAAAGATGGCCGCAACTTGCAAAACAAAAATTAGCGATAGAGATACAATAACTTCCAACTTTGTTTGACATTTGAAGCTGCACAAAAAAACGATATGTCGTAGTTAATACAGCCGACAGCACATTATGACCTGTGTAGGACTCGAAACTCAAAATTTAGGACTTTGGACTTGCCAGTCTCGACTTGAGACTTGACCTTGACACTTGAGTGCTAAGACTTGAGACTTACTTGTAAAACAATTATTTGGTCCCACCTCTGCTGACTTTTGGTGAAAGTTTATCACTCTCAAAGACTGGCCATTGCTGCAGAGGAAGATTTTATTTCATTTACAGCCCTCAAATCTCCCTATGCAAGTGACGACTGAGCCAAACAACTGTGAAAGTCAAAACACTGGGGGTGTTTGGGAACTGACCCCCCTTAAGCAACCAAAGTTTTATCTGTGGACTGAGCCCTTAACTCACTCATTTTCTGGCTGAAATTGTCGTCGGACGCTGAAGTAGTGAATTAACAGGAACTTAACTTGTGATATATGTGAAATTTTTATTGTTATGAGCCTCAAAGAAACATTTTGTCTGTCATCATTTTTACTGTGTATCTAAGAGTGTAACCTGTTTTGGGCTTGTTTAAGTTTTAACTGCAGCAGTATCTGTTTCATTCCCATCGGATGCATATGTTTGTTCAACCTATTCATCGGTGAATATGAACATGAAGCACAAACACCGATTCCATCTTCACACCGGCGTGTTTTAACCATTTCTTCACTTTTTAAAAGCTATGTTTTAATTTCTCATACTTGTCCTATATTGTTGTTGTAGTGTTGTCGTCAAGATGACGACTGGTGAGTTTCTGCTGCAGTTTCTCATTGTGGGTACAACATCTGGACTGAAGCACAATGGACTACAATCTCTATGATCTGAAATGTAAGGTTGTGTGTTTTGTTTTTAGTGGTTACTACGCAAGAGTACAACAAATTATACTTTTCCAAAAATCATTAGGTAATTACTACATATATGTGTGTAGATAGATATACTATCAACAATAATTTAAAATTGTCATTTCGTATATTGTAGTTTTATAATTATTATTCCACAACGCAGACATTATTCTTCTCACAGTATTGCCCAAGAAATCAGGGGGTAATAAGAGCCATACTGGACCTGTGTGTCCCGAAAGGCTACGGTGCGCAGAGGTCTTTTCGGATGCCCATCAAGCCGAGTGACGGGATAACCTCCATAGACCTGATCAATGCATTCTTCCACGTCTCCATCCTGCTGTCCCACAGGAAGTACCTGCGTTTTGCGGTTTTGCGAGATGGATTGACACAGTGGCCAAAATGTGTAATAACAGCTTCTGCATGTGTCACTGGAGCAACAATACTTTTTTCCCACAGACTTATAATGTGTAAGAAGCGGCTGTTGAAAAAAAGTGGAAATGACTTGTTTCACTTCCAGATTTTGATCCATTCAGTCTGAAAGTCTAGAAGAGCCGCACGATTAAATCATTTTATCCCAGTTTAGGTTAGCAGAGGGCTGAACCGGTTAGCTAGGCTATGCTTGCCACAGCGTGCTACTTTTTCATATGTGGAAAAATATCGAAACTTCGCATGTGCAGAGTGAATCAGGTGATTAGTAACTTGTTCCTGATAGGAGAAATTGGACGGGTTACAACTGACCTGTGTTACAACCATCCCTGGTCTCCCCTACTGCTATAATAATTAACACTACTTGGAGGTAACTAAGTGATCTGTGAAGTTTGAGAATACGCATTTATCATTTGTGAACATTCATTTTACAAATAAATACCTGTGATATGTGTAGTTCAGAAATGGCCGGCCACTGCTGCTGTGGACTATCGTTATGCCCACAAGAGATCGCATTTCACCACATGAAGTCTCTTCGTATGTCCACTTCTGACCAAGTGACTTCCTTTCATTGTTACACAAGAGCTGGACAAAAGAGAAACTTCAGTGATGGACAGTTTAAGACAGGGACACACAGGAATAAAAAAAGCATGTCTGGTTCTCATGGCAAATGTCCAGCTTGGATCAGGAGCTGATGGGAGAATTCCCAGAAAGGTCATCTGAATACATCAGGAATGTTTGGGAACTGCAACACTGAAGGGCTTTCTGTTTTCTTTCCCATCTGTGGTAGCAATGTTTTACACAACGCTGCTGCATGGGCGAAAACTCTCCAGCTTTTCGACTTTAGAGTGCATGAAAATAAAGCATCATTATATTAGTTCCTAAATGACTCTGTCCATCTTTATTAAATTGCATAGTAGGCCGCTGATGAAATCACCTGCTGGAATAACAACACTAAGTTAAGTGAGAAAAAGTCAGTTACATCATATGAATAGTTACACAATAGTTTTACATAAAGGTATTATTCCAATGCAAGAGAAAAAGGTAAAGGAATAATTATTTTACCCTACTATTAAGGAGAATCATATTTAAATGTTAAAAAGAAAAAAAGGAAATTAAGAGGTAAAACTTGACACTGTTACAATAAATTAAAATTGTTAGATGGACATTTGAATTAAAAGGTCAAAACTGAAAAAACGTGACATGCAATATGACTGAGCTGAAATTTTAAATTGGTAACAGAAATGGAAACCATATGTAATAAAAATGAAAATGGAAAACGAACTGCATAGAAGAGCCTGCTTGGGGGGAAAAGGGCTTAAATTTAAAGTTATAATGGAAAAGGAAAACATAAATATTCTCAAGACAACTGGAAAGGACAAAACTCAAACACCTCTAATTTTAATATCTAAATAAAGAATGTTAAAGTCGTCTGTGCTGCAGTCACTGGAAAACACGCCACCACAAAACAATTCTGTGGACAACGGCGTCCTCCTATGTCCAAATACATAACTGCAGGACTAAAATGACCACTAATGACCAAACACCATAATATATAATTAGTAACTGATTAAACAAAGCGTGGACAATACAGATAAATAAACCCACTGACATAATGGCTGTAATAACCCATCATGCTGAACTTGTTCTCTGATGTGAGGAGCACTTGAAGACTGGATGAAAACTGGATTTAGGTGCACGGGTTTTTCTGCTGGGTGACGGTTCATGTGTGCTGAAGTTTGTCTAATTTCCTGTGCCAGTTATAAGAGCTGTGTCTCTTTGTCTTTTATAAAGTTTATGGCCTTTCCTCACTAAAGTGTCAGTGTTACAACATTAAATTTGTCCTTGTGGGTTGCCGTGTTTCTCTACAGTGAGAAGGTCAAAGTGTCCCTTGTTACAAGGTTTTCATGCAATACGCATTGATCTTACTGTATTTAAGGTACTTCTGAGTACTTAAATGTGTTTTATCAAAGTAATTTTACAATTTCTTTTGCAATCTGGGTGTTTCTTACATTTTTTTATAATTACTATCAGTGTTAATAACATTTTACTCACCAGCTTAGCTCGGTGAGTTATGGGGGCGCTGCTTTACAACCGAGTTGTAGGTGATGATAAAGTAAACTACTAAAGGAAAAGGATTTTTAATTAAAGATAAATTTAGATAAAGTGCAATTACAGCTTTCTACATATAAAAAACATTGCAGAGTAACTGCAGGTATATAAAATAACTATAATTAGATACACAATCATTCTCAACAGCTGTTTAGCTTATGTTTATGAGTTTACAGCCTGACAGCACACATACCTTAATTTACTGTAGCTCTCTGTAACCTGGCAGGTTGTTTGAAGACAGATCCAGACATCTCTGCTGCCGACTGAGCTTTGATCGAGCTGCCCTCGGTTAATGAGCGGTGGGGGATTATATAACATAGGCAGTATATGACCAGGCGTGGCTCTTATAAAGCAGCCAAAAGTGATGATTTGCATTTACACAGGACAAAGGGGCAGACATTTTAACTTTCAAGGGTTGTAGTCCAATCAAATCTGTGCAAATCAAACAAGCATGTGCTCTTTTAACAGTAGGATCAGATTCACCCGACTAAACTGGTAATCCAAATTGCATACTCTGGTTTGATCAATAGAGAAGACACTGAAGGACAAGTGGTCTTTTCTCGTGCTCTTAAATATGTAAATACAAGCACCTTTACCCCTCAACAGCTGCAGACACATTTGTAGAATTGCTCTGCTCTTGACCAAAGCTAAAATCAAGAGTACTCGTAATATCAGATGTCGACTTTTACCGTTCAGCACTGTTACTAAGAAATAAACACCTTGAAATGAAGAGACGAGCAGTCACGTTTTAATTTCTATAAGTTTTCTTTTAATTGAGCCTTCGTCCATCCTGTCCACAACTACACAACATGGCTACCACATTATAATATTGTTTATGTGTGTGTACACCGAGAGCAAGCAGCCCCATCAAAATGCTTTACACTCTGTCAGGTTACAGTAAAATAAGTTAAAACGGTGGGTCTTTCAGGCCTGTGAAACCAGGTAAATAACAAAATCTTCCTTCCCTCCAGCTGGTACCCCTGATGGTTTGTCTGTACAGTACAGTAGCTTGACAACATTGTTTGGCATAGTGATTGTATGCCCGCTGATTTCACACTGTAGGGATCTCAGCAGGGTGGTGGTTTTAAAAGGCAGTAATATTCATTCATACCCCACAATTCCTAACTGTAAGGAGGCAGAAAGCAGTGTGTCACCCTTATTTTAAAAACTCGTACTGAGCCCGATAACATGTCAGCAGGGGGTAGAAACAGGAGCTCAGAGGGGCTGCTTTAGGAGTCGTAAAATGCAACAGTAGGTTTAGTCCAAATGTTTTAAAGACATGTTCAGTGTGTCGTATCTAAAGGGCATTCATGGCAAGTGGTAGTTTCTGACCATCAATATATAAGGATAGACAAGAGGGAGTGCAGAAAAGTCACACTGCGTCACCCCTTGTAAGGTTAGAAACTCCAGTTGGCATGAAAACTGAGAGCAGCACCAGTTAACCACCAAAAATCTAAAGATTTCCAACCTGTATCACTCTGATATTAGATTCCTTTTTTTTAGTAATAGTTTTTAAAATGATGTTGATGGTGGATGGCTCTGCTGGCAGAAAGAAATGGACAAGTGTTGTCATGGAAAACAGAATGAGACAGGTCAGGTAACCTATCACAGCTAGAAATAATGTCATTAGTTTTCTTTTCATATGAGTCAAAGTACAGATTGACAAAATAAACAAAACTTGACTAGTTTTATGTTTAGCCACTTGAACAATTTGCTCACATCCTGACCTTAAAGACGAAGTGACACTCGGTGTGAACTCACTGGCTCACAAGTAGTGCCACGTTTCCAACTCTCAACATAATTTAACCATATGTACAAATGACTAAAAATAAAACTATATTCAACATGTGCAAACCCAAAAAATTACAATAAAATGACATTAAATATTCCGATTTCTATGACTGCTCATGATGTTGCCGATTTAAGGTATGCAATGAGGTCCTGGCGCTCTCCCTTCTTCTTGATACCAGCAAAGATCATTTTAGTTCCAGGAATGTACTTCTTGGGGTTCTCCAGGTACTCCATCAAGGTTTCCTCACTCCACACAATACCTGAGAAAAGACGGTACATGGGTTTCAGATTTTAAATTTCTTTTTATGGAAATTCTTTAAATATGGAAAGCACTCTGCTAATACACGAAAAGTCTATTTAAATTAAATATTTAACATTATCTAATATATGGCAGGGTGATTAGAACACACACATTACCACAATAAGAAATTTGATATCAATAATCAGTTTATATACACCATTATAAAATTTTAAATGTCTTGATGTCAGTGTCAGACAATGATGCTCCCCATCTTCACTTGATTGATATCCAAAAAAGGTAGAAGGTTATTCAAAGCCTCATTTAACCACACATCAACTGACCTTTACTCTTGTTGGCGTCTGTGTACGAGAAGCCCTCTGCCTGCCCAGTCTTGCGTCCGAACAGACCCCAGAGGTTGGGCCCCACCTTGTGCTTCCCCCCCTGCTCTACTGTGTGGCACTGAGCACACTTCTGGACAAAAGTCTTCTTCCCTTTGTCAATGTCTCCCATAGTCAGCTGGAGAATCACAAAGTGAGGGAAAAGTGGACAGAAAGAAAAGTTACAAATGTTATTTTTTACAATTTATGATATTCTAACCATCTAAATCCTAACCCTGTTCATACTCCTAAGTGATAATGTTTGTGAATTTAATTCCATAAATACATCTACTATATATACATACTATTATTAGATCATAGTTGTGGCAGGAAGCTCATTTACTGGTCTGACCGGCGCCATCTTGTAAAGGTCATTTAAGGTGATAACTTTATCTTGCACGTGTACAGCAGCTTTCTTTACACTTCATTCAAACCCGTCATGACATTAATCTGTGCACTGGCACCCTGCCGAGGTCATTCCAGGGAAATCCAACATGCACAGGAAAATGCACCAACACACCCTTAAGGACACGTTAGCTTAGCTTCCTTTCGCTCCCCTCTGGCGTCTGTTACTTAAGAAAGACTTCCAGGCTTGTCCAGTAAATAAGGTTTGATTTGATAGTGTCACGTAATGAAGGTTTAGCTTCAACATGTTGCGCTTGTCAGTGAGTTTAAACCGGGCCAACATTAATGTGCTTAACTAAAGGGTGTGTTAATGATATGAGCAGAGGTCTGACCAGTGCTTTGCCAAAAAGGTGTTTCCTTACTTGTTCTGTGCTCAAATTACTGAATAAGCCTTTACTATGTATGAATAATCAGGTAATTAACTTTTGATAAATTAGCTTGACGTATGTTCAGAAACAAGGGACGCTTCCACTAACGTATAAAGTAGTGAAGTGGATTAAAGTAAGGACTTAATGTCACCTGGAAACACCTAAATAGGCACATTTTTGGCTCAACATCTCACCGGTTTGTCTGTCGTTACTTGACCTCAGTGTTTGCATACCCGCAGCAGCAACACCAAGACTGTTAACTAGCCAAATGTGACACATGTTGCTTGGGAAAGCTTGGATCAAAAAGCCATTTACAACAACTGGTATCATCTCAAATAGATATCCTAATGTTAAGTTAGCTTCAAAACAATGATTTCTTGTCGTATTTGACAACGTTACCCAACACACGACTGAAAGTTAACTTTCAGGTTACTGCCGTAGCAAGTTGATCTCGAGTTAACTTATATAACGTGTAACTTACACCCAGCTAACTGCAATTGTTTCTTTCTATAACGTTATTTAATGGACCATAATCTACACAAGACCTTGAACATTGTAATTTCTGAAGTAACGTTAAAGGGCGATGGTAGTTAGCGTCGGTGTCACAGCCTTAAACATGGCGGGCATAAAGCATCAAGGACATCCTGTCTAACGTTACAAACTAAAGGCAGCCTCTTTGCACAGACAGATAACCTTAGATATAACGTCGTATTTACGACCACAATTTGTATTTGACAAGATGAATCTCACTGAGATTATGTTATCATTAAAGCTAAGCCTGGTTAGCATGCTAGTAGAGTTAGCCGGGGATGTGTCAACCCCTCCAAGGATGCTTCAATGTCGGCGTCTGAGTATCGCACTCCACTGCAGTTATTAGCTACCGTAGCTAATAATGTAAATATTTAAATCAATAATTCAATCCAACATAAAAATACCACACTACAAATAATAAGGTGTAAGATGATTAACTCTTTTTAGTTCACACAAAGACAAAGCTAAAGACTAACAAGGGAGCTAACGTCAGCTAACTTGCTAACCGTTAGGGCATCCTTTTGAGTAACAAAGCCGTAAAATACAGTTTATTATCGCTGTAAGTGCTCTATGTGAAGTATAAATTCTTACCTTTTGGTTAAAATCCCTCCGGAGCAGGTATAAAACTGCGTCTCTCAGCAGACGTGCGGTTTCTGGCGGTCGTAAAGAAGGTCACTTCACTTTTACAGGCACCGGCTTTCGACGTCATCATCCGGGCTTTCCTGTGAACCGTGACGCGCTGCCTTCAATCCGGCCGAGTCTCATTTCCACAAACACGCGTTTCCTTAGCCGACTTTATATAATTAGGCCACATGTTATATGGAATTCGCTTTTTTTGGCACACAAAGCACAAATACACATACATTCAACAATAATGATTAAGAAAATTAAATATAATGTTGCAGATTTTTTCGCTACTGCCTTAAAAGATGAGACGAGGGTGCAAGAAAGGACGCGAAAAGTGCGTTTTGGTACTGACGCCCGTATTTTGTCGCATTCCCCATTCAATGGTAGAGAAAAAGGCACCTGCTGGAGGAGCCTTATATGGAGATAAATGCATTTATTTACTGTTAATATGGACAAAATTAAGTATCTACACTGCTCAAAAAAATAAAGGGACCACTAAAATAACACATCCTAGATCTGAATGAATGAAATAATCTCATTAAATACTCCTTTCTTTACATAGTTGAATGTGCTGACAACAAAATCACACAAAAATTATCAATGAAAATCAAATTTATCAACCCATGGAGGTCTGGATTTGGAGTCACACTCAAAATCAAAGTGGAAAACCAAACTACAGGCCGATCCAACTTTCATGTAATGTTTCTTAAAAGAAGTCAAAATGAGGCTCAGTAGTGTGTTTGGCCTCCACGTGCCTGTATGACCTCCCTACAACGCCTGGGGCATGCTCCTGATGAGGTGGCGAATGGTCTCCTGAGGAATCTCCTCCCAGACCTGGACTAAAGCATCCGCCAACTCCTGGACAGTCTGTGGTGCAACGTGGCGTTGGTGGATGGAGCGAGACATGATGTCCCAGATGTGCTCCATTGGATTTAGGTCTGGGGAACGGGCGGGCCAGTCCACAGCATCAATGCCTTCCTCTTGCAGGAACTGCTGACACACTCCAGCCACATGAGGTCTAGCATTGTCTTGCATTAGGAGGAACCCAGGGCCAACCGCACCAGCATATGGTCTCACAAGGGGTCTGAGGATCTCATCTCGGTACCTAATGGCAGTCAGGCTACCTCTGGCGAGCACATGGAGGAAATGCCACCCCACACCATTACTGACCCACCGCCAAACCGGTCATGCTGGAGGATGTTGCAGGCAGCAGAACGTTCTCCACAGCGTCTCCAGACTCTGTCACGTCTGTCACGTGTGCTCAGTGTGAATCTGCTTTCATCTGTGAAGAGCACAGGACGCCAGTGGAAAATTTGCCAATCTTGGTGTTCTCTGGCAAATGCCAAACGTCCTGCACGGTGTTGGGCTGTAAGCACAACCCCCACCTGTGGACGTCGGGCCCTCATACCACCCTCATGGAGTCTGTTTCTGACCGTTTGAGCAGACACATGCACATTTGTGGCCTGCTGGAGGTCATTTTGCAGGGCTCTGGCAGTGCTTCTCCTGCTCCTCCTTGCACAAAGACGGAGGTAGCGGTCCTGCTGCTGGGTTGTTGCCCTCTTACGGCCTCCTCCACGTCTCCTGATGTACTGGCCTGTCTCCTGGCAGCGCCTCCATGCTCTGGACACTACGCTGACAGACACAGCAAACCTTCTTGCCACAGCTCGCATTGATGTGCCATCCTGGATGAGCTGCACTACCTGAGCCACTTCTGTGGGTTGTAGACTCCGTCTCATGCTACCACTGGAGTGAAAGCACCGCCAGCATTCAAAAGTGACCAAAACATCAGCCAGGAAGCATAGGAACTGAGAAGTGGTCTGTGGTCACCACCTGCAGAACCACTCCTTTATTGGGGGTGTCTTGCTAATTGCCTATAATTTCCACCTGTTGTCTATTCCATTTGCACAACAGCATGTGAAATTGATTGTCAATCAGTGTTGCTTCCTAAGTGGACAGTTTGATTTCACAGGAGTGTGATTGACTTGGAGTTAAATTGTGTTGTTTAAGTGTTCCCTTTATTTTTTGAGCAGTATAATTTTATCCATACATAACTTTTCAGTTCGTTTGGGAATCATGTTTTTGGCTCAATTTAATATAAATATAAATATAAAATGTTTTGGGTAGGTATTGAAGTTGTCACTAGACATTTAAATTTAAATTCACATTTCAGATTTTAAAAAACTGAGAAAACTGTGGCACTTATCAGTAACTAGTCTTTTATAAGTATTCAAATCCCTTACTTAAGTAAAAGTGGAAATATCACAGTTTAAAATACTCTACTCTCTCTCTCTCTACTTAATACTCCAATACTTCAAGTCCTGAATTCAGAATGTTTTATATTATTTTGTATATAACAAATAGCCTCTGTGTAAAAATATTTTGATGTTGATGTAGAACCAATTTAAATACTTTGTACAACACTGGGTAGATTAGTAGCCCAGTACTGCATCATATCATGTTTTCTTATGGGAAAGTACCTATAAGTGTCAGACAAATGGAGTATTATATTTGCTTCTGAAATGTAGTGCAGTGGAAGTATAAAGTAGCATTCAATGAAAATAAAGTACAAGTACATGAAAATTGTCTTGAGCTGTTTTTTAAAAGGTGACTTTGGTGTCCTCTGACTAAAGGGAGACAGTTAAAGTTTATTATGAGTTACAACCTCAAAGTCCCCTTTAGTTTTCAATCTGGTGAAGGAGTTCAACATTATTGACTTTGTCTTCATAACTCCCTACCTCTGTCTAATAATACTCTTAGGTGCAATAAAGTAAACTAGATAATTGCAGATGGTTGGCAAAATTCACATACCACAATATAAGTTTATTTTAGGAACACAGTGAAAAGGCTGACACTTGCTATAAACACGCACACATACACCCACACCCACACACACACACACGCATGGCATATACAGATATAGATCATTCCTGAGACCTTCACCCCGCCCAGCAAACAAGTCACAAGCCTCTGACATCATATCATCAGCTGACGGCCGTATGTCTTGTTTTACTCTTTCATTCATTTTCTATTTGTCTGTGCTTATGTGTTCTTGAAGGTTTTTTAATATGCCGTCATATATATTTAATCACATCCATGAATAAAATATAGTTAGTATATTTAGTTGTTATAATTTTGTATAATCCATTAATAATATATTTTATTTTTAACATATACAAACAGGATATGTTTAACATTGTCATTATCATCATCACTATTATTATTACTATATGTTTTTCTCCCTTTCCCATAACCTGATGTAAAATACCCTACAACAAGCTTAGGGTGTCCAGGTGAAATATTTTTCTTTCTTAAAATGATTTACACTTGTGAGTGCTGTACTTATGTACAAATGTAAGGTACTTTTACTTTACTTGAGTATTTTCTTCTCAGGCTACTCTATATGTTTACTTCTGCTCCAGTAGAATTTAGACCAAAATATTGTGCTTTTTGCTTTACTATATTTATTTGACTAATTAAATTACTGTTTAATAATGAAGATTGTTGCATACAAAACGTGTAATGATAAAATACGAGTACGGCTGAAACAATAAGTTGATTAATCAATTAACAGAAAAATAAATGTTATAATGCCATTCATGCTTTTAATATTGTGAATAATTTAAGAATTTTGCACAGTTGATTGGACAAAACAGGCTTTGTGAAGGTGTCCCTTTGGTGTCTGGGTAATTGTGAGGGCATTCTTCATTATTTTCAGAATCTTTAACAAACCAAACAATCAATCAATCAATGGAGAAAATAATCAGCAGCTGCAGTCTAGTACAAAATTTGTTCCACCTCAACTAACTACAAATCAACTGTAAAATCCTGCTTTAACATTCATGCATGAGTAACAATATCCCTATCATAACCTGTAATAATAGTATGATAATAGTATGTAATAACAGTCACAGGCTACATTTTCCAGATTACTTACATACTTTTGCTTAAAATTTTCAGTGCAAGACATGTATTTGAGTATTTTAGTGTGGTATCAGCACTTTATATAGTACTAATATGCAGTACTTTTACTTAAGTAAAGGATGTGATTACTTGCTTTCCAGTGATTAGCTCTCTGCAGAGTGCTTTTACAACTCCCGTACAGTAGATGGCGGTACATTGAGGGGCGCTGCACTGAAATCTCGTTGAACTACGTTCAATGCCATTAAAGCTTTCTGAATTTTGACTCTGATTCTGATAACTCATGATTAAGTATATAAAATATTGAGATCACATGACTGATTGAAATGTTGTACTCACGATTCTATCAACTTAACACACTACCTACATCCTCCACACAAGTTGGAGTTGCCATCTTTGGACTCTTTGCTAAGCTGCAGCCGGAAGTTCCGAGGAGCCCTGAAGGCAGCACCAACGGCTACTGGCAGCATCATTCTGCTGAGTGGGAAGCAAAGATGGAGGAGTATCCTTCTAAACAAGTGACCGAAAACCTCGACGACCCTCCCAACAGCCGCCTTTTCGCGGTCACAAGTCGGTCCATAACCGAAGATGAGCTCCGGGAAAGTTTCTCTGTGTTTGGGGAAATCCAGGGGGTCTGGGTGGTCAAGGACAAGCAGACAAAGGAATCCAAAGGAATCTCCTATGTGAAATTCGCCAAGTCTTCGCAGGCCTGCCTGGCCATGGAGGAAATGCACGGCAAAGTGCTGGTGGACGGGACTAAACCCATCAAGGTAACGTTAACAGCTAGGCCACCGAGCAGCTGTGTAAGCTTAATGCAATAATATGAAAGTTTTAGTTAAAACAATGGAATCAGAACATACGTTACGTCTCGTTAGCAGCTAACTAGCTTGCTAACAAGGGGCGTTGACGTCAACAAATCAGAGGGCGACACCTGAGTTTAAGTTCGCCCGAATTAACAAACTCCACACCAGCGTTATTTGCTGAGATTGTGCGATCTAGATTTTAGTCTCCACCGCAATATAACTGAGGTGAAGTTGATGAAAACGAGCGCTTGAAAAACCCCATATACAACTTGTTTTTCCAGAAACAACGCCTCGGTTATTCAGGAAAATCCGCAAGCCTCAGTTTCATTTCACACCACGTCCTACTAAAGAAACAGTCTCTATGATGATGATGATAACAACAAGGAATGTGGATTATCTTGATTAATCAGGAGCTAGGTGAATCTCCTTTCAACTGCTTTGTAATGGGCGTCACCAGTGGTTAAAGAAGTATTCAGATCTTATATATCTCTTATATATATATCTCTTCATATCTACTTATGTAAAAGTAGTAATATCACACTGAGAAAAGGCACCACTACAAGTAATTGCATTAAAAACATTACTTAAGTAAAAGTATGTAACTATTATCAGCAAAATGTACTTAAAAGTACCACAAAAGCAACAAAAGCAACAGACACAGTGAACCTGAAGATTTTGGGGTCCCTGAATGTCTGCAGCCTTGAGTCAGTTGCACACTTCACCCAGTTGGTCATCCATCTATAATAAACTAAATCAAAATGATTGTAGGGTTTTTAATCATGAGGTATCAAGTAGTCAAAGTATACATAGTAGTGGTTGACTGGATATTTTCATTTCATACCGTGAAACAGGTAAATACGCCATGCCTACAGTCTTTTTTTAATTGCAAAATCCATCATTTATGAGGTTCTTGCTATCAATATCTGAATGTTTTGTAACTAATTACTAATTACCAATCTTTTTTTCCCCTTTCTCTGCTTGTTTGTGTAGGTGTTTATTGCCCAGTCACGGTCTTCAACAAGACACAGAGACGTTGAGGATGAGGAGCTGACCAGGATCTTCGTCATGATCCCCAAAACCTTCACAGAGGAGGACCTTAAAAACACGTTCAAAGTAACACGCAATTCTTACTTTGTCATATACCATTTCTGTGCTTTTACATCTCATTGCTTGCCTATATTTTCTTTCTTCTTTCTGCCTTTACCGTTGCCTATATGTAAAATAACTATACATATATGTGAAACTATGCAAGATAGGAAATGTCTGATAAATTAGATGGAGGTTTACAGATATTTTACCTTCACATATTAAGTGATTAAATAAATAATAGGCAGCAGGTTCATTATACCTCACACATTATCTTTATTCCTATGGTATATACCAGTGGATTCTTATTTTTATATTTTTAAAGTCATTAAAACAGTCTAAATTTAAATTTTAGACTCTCTTAAAATACTCTATATTGACTCTAACTGTTGTTTCTTGCCATATCTGATGTCCCAAACAACTGGTATAAAATGAGGAATATCCCTGGCTGTTGCCTCTGTCTGTCAATTCAATTCAAAATAGCTTTATTGGCATGAATGTGTAACAACAATATTGCCAAAGCATCATACAAACTACACAAGAACAATCAACCCCATACATTTCACTAAACAAGTAATTAAAGCGTAAAATAAAGTGTATGTGTTTGTGTTTTAAAAAAAAGAAAAATAATATAAATGAATAAAACAGTAAGTGTGTGGTGTGTGTCCAAAAAATATGTCTCTCTTTCAGGAGTATGGTGATATTGAGTATTGCGTGATCATCAAGAATAAGACCACAGGGGAAAGTAAAGGACTGGGCTACGTGAGATACTACAAACCCTCCCAAGCTGCCCTCGCTATAGAGAACTGTGACAAATGTAAGATTATGTTACATTATTTTAGTGAATCAGTATTTGTAGAAGAAGTAGCTGGAGGGGAAAAGTACTGGGAGACCTTAATTTCTACTGCACTCATACTAAACAATTAACAGAATAATTCGTTTTCAGCCATCGTGTCTTTTCACTGTTGTTGTTGCTGTGGAGATTTTTGTCTCAGAACTGTGGTGTTAATGAAGATGATGGTGTTATTAGCTTACAGAGCCATCCTGGCTGAACCTCGCACCAAGGCTGCAGCAACAGAAGAGTACACAGGGGGGTCGGCCAGAGGTGAATACATGGGCGGTGGAGGCGGCGGCGGCGGCGGCAGTGACTCCATGAACCAGTATGCCTTCCCTCTGGGTAAGCAGTTGGTTTAGATCCTAATTCACTTTCTTTTCTCTTTAAATCTGGGTTTAATGTTTCCGTTTTTTAAATTCTATGACCAGCAGTTAAAGTCAGTCAGACACCGATTCCTGTATTTCGTGTTGCTGTCAAAATGCATTATAGTTAATGGCACTTGGGAAGACATTATTACAACATTATTTAGGTTTTTTGATATTATTATATCTTAATCAATATTTAAGGTCACTCCTTTGAAGTGTTGTGTGACAGCTCAGAACAAGTAACCAGTAGCTAGTTACTATTTAAAGTTACCCTGTGGATTTGTTTAGCAATGTTTCTCTAAGTGGGTTCCCATTTCACATTATTCCACTGATCTGCAGGTGGCGGTAACACGCCAAGAAACACAGCAGTGCACCATCAAAGGCAGGGAAGAAGACTGCTAGCAAGTAAACATAGATATAAATAATGCACGTTACAAATTGTTTGTTCAAAAAATGTCACTTAAGACACTGAAAATTACCTCAAATACAAATTCAAGCAGCTGATGAGGTCAGGTTCATGGGAGTTATTAGTTATTTAGGGAGCTTATGTCCCACAGGGCATGTAGAGGATACATTTTTCTGTTGTATTGTTTCATTCACTTAAAGGTGATCCAAGAAGGGGAAGCACTTAATTAAAATGGGAACTTGCTGCAGCTTTCTCTGTCCTGTTATTGACCCGGAGGTCCCTCTTCCCTTTACAGCTGACCCTGGCAACTACCCGGTCATGGACTACCGCTCCGGTGACTTCACGCGGTGCCTGATGATGTCAACACGGGCTGCACTTTCCCAAGAGCAGATTTTTGCTTTGTTTGACATCATTCCTGGCATGGAGTACTGTGAGCTGCAGAGAGACGCTTATGGAATGAGCAAAGGTGAGTGATTGAGCACAAACTATGGGCTTAATTCATTTGGGCACAATGAAAGTGTCTTTGATAGAATATTCTAAACTAGAAGTTCACTTACTAGATTTTTCTCATGATAAATGTGTGACCTGAGTTTTGTACATAGCCTATGTGATGACACTAAAGCATCTAGTCCGATAAAGTTGCGTTATTACTTCCTGTGATATGGAAAACCATTTCAGCTGTCCCAAAAGGAGAAGTCTTTGCTTTCCACTTTAAAGAAGAGGAAACTGTTACACTGTTTAATTTCCAGACCATTTATGACCAAATGTGGGTGGCCACGCTCGTATGGAAGTTAGAGCAACAGTTAATTGTGTACTGACAGACATAAACCAAAAGGGTATTCAATTTTGTAATGATATCGAATAAATAAAATAAGCAAATCCTCATATTTAAGAAACTGGAATTGGCAGATGTCAAAGGTCAAAACATCGATTAATAATTGTTATTTGTAATTTTATTAGTTTTCTGTTGGTCGGGTGCTTGATCAGTTCGAACTCAAATCCTTCTTTCTGACAGGTCAAACTTTATTTTGGAACAAAAAAAGTAATTTTCTTTATTTCATAAAATTAAAATTGGTTCACTGTAGTTTGTAATGTTTCGTAAATGTGGGTGTTTTGTAACTGCAAATTTTAATGACTTTAAAATTAAAGCATTCAACTTAAATCTTAAAGTCTTGTTGGCTGTTTTTGTTTCCTGTGTGTCGTGTGCCTTCAGGTCATGCGTTGATTCGCTACAGTAACCTCGGATCAGCGGTTTACGCCAAAGAAAAGCTGAATGGCTTTGAATATCCACCTGGCAACAGACTGGCAGTAAATTTTGTTGACGACGGAGAGGAACGCAGCAGGTACACACACACGCACATGCATGTGTACACTTACTTACACACAACAGCATACACTCACTGTGTGTCTGCAGAAGGGTCACAATTAATGGAGGCATGAGGTAGAAATGCCCTTTAAAGTTAATATATCATTAATAAAAACTTGGGACAGATATGCCAACGATAACTAACAGTAACGTCTGCACGTATTTTTGGTAAATTTTTTATTTTTTTTATTGTTAAAAATATTCATAATGACCCCTCCCCCCCGTGGGCCATAGTGACCGGGTGGTTGTTTTCCAGAGCGCTTCGATGAAGGTGAAAAGGAGCAAACAGTCTTTATAAAGTAAACAACTAAGAACATATTCTGAAGCAGTAAAAGTTGTTGGCACCACACAGTGAAGGCATAGAGGAAGAACCCCATGCCAGTGGAAGTGTTACACAAATGTTAAGTAAAGGGACCTAAAAAGGTTTAAAGTGACCAATAAAATACACAAAGTAATTTGTATTGACCTGGCATGTTCCCTGTACAAATTTGATATCTGTAATGGAGTGTCTCCCCTTTCTGTCTGTCTGTATACAGCCTAGTCTTTAAGTAATTTGGTCACAGCAACTTAGTGGGTATGAACCAATGACGATCAGCTTGTGTTTGTGTGTAGTCCTGTAGGTCGGATGGCCATGCAGTTCGTTGCAACCCAGATGATGTCTGCAGTGTGGAACGGACCCTCGTCCAGCCAAGTAATGAAATCTCCTGTGAGTACATTAAATCAGCGCCTAAATGAACAAAGTTGTATCAGATCACCTTGCTATTTATTGCTCTTATTTGAGTTATTTTTTGCCACTGTTTCTGCTTGCTTGAGATTCACACTCTTTAATTCCTCTCAAGACTTTTTGAGGTTTCTGAACACCATTCCTGCATTTTAGTTTTATTGAATCAGTGGTGATGGGATCAAAAAATACTGTATTTGCAAAGTCACTTTCTTCATTTCTAAAAAGGTGTATTTACAAACAAATTCATCAGAATATCAGACGGATTTATGATAAACTAATCTAAACAACTGCCACAAAAAAAAAAAAAAATATATATATATATATATATATATATATATATATATATATATATATATATATATATATATATATATATATATATATATATATATATATATATATATATTGTAAGCACATCACATTTTGTCTAACCCTTTTGTCTAACTTTAGAAAACAACTCACCCTGTAAATAACAACTCAAGGTTAATTACTGTTCTGGGTAATTATTCCTCCAGGCCTCCTCTGCCATCTATAGCGTTTTACAGATTAAATAATTTATCAAATAAAAATTGGTAATTGCAAAAGGTTTAACACATTTTACCTGGGAACTGTTGTTCATAAGAATAATACAATATTTAAGCTGAATCGCTGATCCTGTGTGTTTGTTGGTATCCTCCAGGGCTTCTCTGCTGTCTCCCCAATGTCCCGGGTTCAGACAGACGTCAGTCTGCCCCCTCTGAAGAAGCTTGCGCCGCCTGACAGCAAGGCGAAGGAGCGCTTGTTTGTAGTGTTCAGCCCCTCCCCTCTGCCCCTGGATGTCCTGGAGGACGTTTTCTGGTAAATGTCCCATACGTTAAAACGCAATTTCACTTCTTTATAACATTGTAAATATATATCGTATATGTCACAAAGTACAGAAAACAGTGTGCGTATGATGGAAACAATGGTCCATTAGAGGTTCAGTCACGACTCTAAGCTTAGTTACTGCAAACAACTCTGGATGAGAGCATCAAGCGAAATGGTCTGAAATGACAATTCAATGTTAGTGAAAAGGTGCTCCAGACAATCAGCCTTAACAAATCCTGCTGCAAAATTAAACTCTGTCTCCCTTTGTCTGTCTCTCCATAGTCGCTTTGGTTCCCTTATTGAGGTCCATTTGGTTCCTGGCAGAAAGGTTGGATACATGAAGTATGCAGACAAACAGGTGAGACTCTGAACTGATGGAGGATAAGCTCTTAAATAATGAAAGAAGTGAAGTTATGAAAATAGAGAAGATTGCCCAAGTCTTCCCTCTTTATGTTCATCTCTGTCTCTCTCTTTCAGTGTGCAGATGAGGCCATGGCAGTGCTCCACGGTCGGGTCGTCAATGGAGTAAAGATGAAGGTGATGCTGGCTGATCCTCCCAGAGAAGAATCTCATAAACGTCCTCGTACCTACTAGGACCGCGTGAAAGAAATGACCGGTAAGTTCCAGGTTTTCTCCTGCAGGGAACACCAGTATGAATAACTGGACAATTGGATGCCCAAGTATTTTGGTAACAAAGTAATAGTGTAAGTGTATTCTGGGTGAGGCCTGTTACATGGCTTGTGCCTGCGACACACTCACGCATACATTTCTCATATATTCTTGCTGAGGACATTTCTTAATGCTACCCCAGCGTGTGTTGCAGTTATCATATGCTTCAGGTAGACGTGCAGAACAAACAGACAATACAGTACAGATGTTCTTTACAAACATCAATCAGCCAATCAAAGTCTTAATTTAGCATACGAAATGTGGTGCAAATGGTGGAAAGTTATGTGCTGTATCAGTGCAAACACAGAAACACGCTCAGTGGCAGTTTGAGGAGACCTCACAGTAACTGTATGATGATGGAAATGTAGTCTACAGTCTATAACTGAAAACAAAACGTAATTTAACCTGAGATGCAGTCACTACAACTGCATCATACAACGTAGTACTGTGATGTCACATGTATAACATCAGGTATTCCTAATTATAACTTAATACTCTCTGGCTGAACTTGCAGATTCATTGCCCTCTGTGACACAAGCCTTTAAAAAATGACAAAGAAAGCTTGTTAGCAGGGCTTTCCCCTAGTCTACCACCATGCTGCCTCCGTTACATGGTGTTAGATTATATTATGATGCAGTTTCTGTACATAAAATACAGTAAAAAAATCAAGTTTTACCTCCCAGTGAAAATTCTTTGTAGACTGTGTGTCAGAGCTTCCGTCTTGACAAGCCCACCAGCAGTCTTCTTACACACCTGTGCGCACCTGTCAAACTGTTATTGGCCGTTCGTACGGGAAGCAGTTCTTTGACAAGATGTCAACAAGTTTCTGATGACAGTTGTTTCTCTTCCTGTGAATAACACTGCAGCTTCTTGTTCCCTGTAGGCGACTCTTGTCATGACACAATGACACCTGACCTGACAGACCGACCGACCGACATCGAGACCTTCACCCGACCTCTGACACGACCTTTGACACCTGTCTGACCTTACTTTTGGGTCAGTGACCTTGCTGTGACTCACTGATATACCAAGTACACAGAAGCATCCACTACTAAAATGGAATCATATGCATTCTGTGAACAGAAGCAACAACGCCAGTTTGTGTAGTTTGTGGTGAGTGTCGTGCTTTTTACGCAGACTACTGAATTCATTTTAAGTTTAAAAGTTTTGTAGTTCAGGAGGTTGGCAGTATTTTCTTCTTGAAGAACTGTGGGCAGGAGGCTGCACTCTGTTGAGGAGCTAAAAAACAAGATTTGTAAAGCTGGATCTAGACAGTTTTGTTTTTCACACCTGGTCCTTCCTTTTTTTTCTCTTATGGTATGACCTGTAATCTCATTTCCAGCTTAGTGCAAATGTGTTTACCAGATTCACTGTGAACTGTTGTTTCAGTAAAAATAAAGATCAGGTGAACACACATTCAGTTTGTCTTGTCTCTTTTGTAGCTGCAGGTGAATAACTGGACAGTTATGTTTTAATAAAAAATTTCGTTATGTGAAATGTAAAAAACTGTCTGTCTGTCCTGGATGACAGCTTAAAGTTCATCTTTGAATCTTTTTTTTTGTTGTCTGAAAATGTGCCAGATCTCTTGTTGTATTTCTTTCATGTGATTGTTTTGCTAAATAGATGTTATTCTTCAGAATAGTGGTGGAATAAAAAGAAAGTATGCTAAATGGAATCAATGGGACAATGTGTATGCAGAGGGAAATGTAAATTATGTAGATTTTATGGGACACATACCAAGTCTTTGTCAAATCACTGCCAGCTGCCTATTAAATTACTAATTTTCTGAATATGGATGACAGCTGCTCAACAAGCCTCCCCCCGGTAGGTATGAGTGTGTGACAGTTGTAAATGTGGTAGGCTGACATTTTTATGAAGCTATATTAGTTTTTCAGGTTTAATCAAGACGATACTTCACTTACATGTAAATCTGGGCCACTTCAACGATGTGTGTGTATTAGTGATAGACTGATTAATCGGCCGATGCCTGCTCTCAGAAGGCCAAAAACACAAGATGTCTGAAGACAAATTTGCAGGCACTCTTTTCAGTGTGACTGCTGTGGAATGATCATAGCGATGGTTTTGAGCCCTAAATGTCCTCAGTCACCACCGTCTTTTGGAAATGTTAACACTTCTCATAAATGACAGCCGGCCTAATGAAAGACCATTACCGGCTAGCTTTAAATATATATGGTAATACTGTAGAGAATAATGCAGTTGAATGACGTCACTTCTGACAAACTATCTCGCTCTCCCTTAAACACCAGTCACGTTCTACAATGTACTTTTTTATTTCATTAATTAATTAAAAGCCCACATAAAACAACGTTACTGGCTAAGATAATATGTATGTTAGATTGTTTTCTGTATGGAATAATAGAAATATACATGGCATATCAGTTATCGGCCACTCTGCTCTGTAAATATCGGTCAACCACTAATCTGTTTACTTTGATTACCCTCATGATGCGCCAGCCATGTAATCATTTTAGGCAGAATGCCATGATTAAGAACCCTAAAAGCATTTTGATCTGAAGAAATGCAGTTTATATTCAACATCAATGGCATTGCTTTCAGGCCACAGACCTTCAGGGACCCCAAAATCTTTAGGTTCACTGTCTCAGTTGGCAATTTGATTATGTGCAAAAAAATTTTTCTAATTAACAATATCACCTGGGTCCTGCATTATTACTTAATCGTTTGGCCCTGGCATATAGAAGGGCCTTTATGCTTAACCTGGTGCAAACCCTGAAATGATGCCGTGTCTCAAACTACCTTAAACTGCCGTACAGGCAACCTGGGTCCAGTATATTATTTGGTTTGTGGGGTCTCTGCAAAATTATCTGCAGTCTATAGTGTGCCTTGATGCTGCTGCTCTCTACTTGATGGGAACTTGGAGGTAACAGGAGTCCCCATACAGGTTGAATTAGCCGTAATGGGAAAAAGAAATTACTTCAGTTCCCAAAAACTGCATGTACACATTTCTACAAACAGGTGGGTATCGCAAAAATATGGCAAACGTGTCAGTAAACAGTTATTATTGACCATCTGGAGTTGTTTATTAGTTTATTCATTCTCTTCTAGCTGTTTTAAGTCTCTACTAAGTCCTGAGGTAATTATTTCGCTTTAGCTGTGAATAAATCCAGTATGTTCACGAGCAAGTCTCCCAACTGTCTGTCCATTTGGTGCTGAGCAGATAGTCAGTGGGTTTTTAGAGCTTGTTCTCTGACACTGACCGCTGCAGCCAAAAACACATCAGTGTGAACCAAAACAGCTGAACAATGAGCTGAAACTGACTATAAAGCAGAAGGAAGCGGCTTTTCTGTAGGCTCATCACTACAAGCGACCCGCTTTCACGTCATTTAATACATCACTATAAAAATGTTGATAATAGCAGCTTTAATTCATAACGTAGGACTTAACATTCAAGAAGAGACACACACTGGATGTACAGTAATCTTTTATTTCTTCAGGAGGCGACTCGAGAACATTATTTACAATACTGGGCTGATACCATTTGGTTTCCCTGCTGGAGCTTCATTGTAGCACTAATCAGGTCTCAGAAACATGGCTGACATTTTAGAAGCTTGGTCTGGACTTTTCCTTCAAAAGGTTGCATGACAGATTTCCATAACACAAGAAGGGAAAGAATCTTCAGTAGAAGGAAAGTGCAACCTCAAACTAGAGCTTTTATTTTGGTATGAGAGCAGGTGAGGCTCTGAACAGATTCAGTTTCTTACAACAGAATCACCCTGTTCATGGCCCACATTGTTCAGCTCTTTCAAACATCTGTCAATGATGTTATTGGATTTATTGAAGTGTTATCCCACTGTACAATCAGTATAGTGCTTTCATTTTTAAGCCCTTACATCGTCTCACTCAGAAAATTATTATATTCAATATTTAACTGATTATCGAGAAGCAACCAAAGCCCAATTTATTAAAAGTAATTTCAGTTTCAACGTTAGCCAGCGAGTTTGCCGAGCAACAAAAGTGCACAACAAATTCTCCTCCTACAAGAAACATTCACGTGAAGTTGGCCCTGGTAAACCCTAACTGGCCCTTGCTGTGAAAATTTGGACACCCAATGGACAAAAGGGCCAAGGACATGGTAACCTGTGAGAGGGGTGATACAAAAAACAGAGGGGGGCAGAGACAGGAAGTGATGTCATGATATAATCAGGCTTTATTACTGGAGTCTCTGAATTTTAAAATCATTCAAACATCTGGTCTCTTTGTTGTTTAGCTCCATGCATCCATCAGTCCATCCGTTAGTCATTTAGTCCGTCCTAACTTCCACCTCACGCTCCCTCCCTCTCACGCGCTCCCTTTCTCAGTCGTCCAGCGCCAGTGTGTTCAGTTCCTCGTCGAGCTCCTCTAGATCTTCTCCTGTGAAAAGGTTCTCGTCCACCGGTACCTCCTCTTCTTCCTCCTCCCCTCCTCCGTCCTCCTCCCCGTCTCCCTCTGCTCCCGAAAGCCCGTTGGCCTCAGCGCCACCACAGGCTTCGTTCATCTGCTCCCCTGTAGATGTGAAGAGAAAGGAAGCGGGGATTGTTTGTGTATCAAAAGTATTGATCATTTTCATCTGTATTGGCTTGTTACAGATTGTGGTGAAGCCAACAAACTGACCAGCACTGACATGGCAACTAGGCAGAAATCACTTTTATAATCAGCAAGTTTTTCCTACCGTTGTCCATTTCTGTCCGCTGAGTCTTTTTCCTAGAGGTGAAACGGTCTGTGGATGCTACCGTAATGCCCGAGTGGTCAACCTCTTGTGGAACAAAGCGGGATAAGTCTATGTCCTGGACGTCTGTGCTGTTACTGATCTGAAAGAAAATATAAAGGTTTAGACAGGAGAAGGGATGTCATGATACCAGAAATGTATTAGTCGATACAGATACCAGTAAAATTCCACGATGCAGGATAAGCGGGTGAGGATGAATGGATTGATTTCCTTTATAAACTCACTGGTGTGAAATGTTGAAGGGTGGGCACCATCTATATTGGCAGTGGTTTGAGATTTTTATATTGAAAAACAAAAAAGTTATTGATGATTAAAATGGACTGTATTGCACTTTAAAATCTTGTACAGTTGGTCTGTGTGTTGTGGATTTGGGAGAATAAAAAGATTCTTTCATGTTGGTTCTAGCTGAAAAAACCCCACTCAATTAAATTAACAGCAGATTTATTTGCTTGAGATTTATTACAACAGTGTGACTTTTGTTCTATTTGAAACAACATAAAATCTGACTGTTCACATGTCCTGAAAGTGTGTTGGTCATATAAAGCGACAAGGAGTCATTTTGCCCTCAGTGCAGCGTTCAGGGTTAATTCTGGATGCTGACTAAGAGTGAGTCTTTTATACTAAGTACTTTGTATAAATAAGGTAACAGATTTGTAATTAGCTGTATCAGGATATCTGCAATATTCAGAGACAAATTGAAAGCTTCTTAAGAGAATTTCTGAATAAATACTTCAAAGTTGGCACCAAAAACAGATTTTCACAAAACAAAATGCTTGCACATTTTAGTACCAGAGGACAAAACAATTAATGAAATTAATTAAGGGACCATAAGCGATGTTGTGTTTAATTAAGTTTAGATTAATTAAAGGAATTAATGAAAAATGTTTTATTGTTGCATTTAACTTGTGCACTTTATTTACAGCCTTGAATCTACTAAGGAGCACACAAGTGTACAACAGGTGCAGATAATTAACAGGCAAATCACTTGCTGTGTAAAAAGGCAGGCAGCTGCAATTCAGCAGGAATTAGACCATTTAAATACAAAAAATGCCACAATGTCTGCAGCAAACACTTTGCATCACCTGTAAGAAATATGAAATATAATTGCTTACGGATGAGGCAATACAGTGTAGGGAAAAAATACGTCCGGTCTCATATTTAAGGTGTGGAAACTGTAGGGATTACTTGTCGTCCGCGCCTTGGTTTTAGTTTGACTTCACTTTGTGCAGTTTGGGCTCTAGTTGTGATTCTATTTTAACCAGTTATTGGACATTAAAGCAGTAAGAGATATATTATCTGTAGGATACACGTTTTATGGTCTACGTCTCTCCTACACTGTTCAACAGAGCAGCAGCTCATGGTGTGAGGATATTTCTTTCCTCCTCCCGGATGGAGGGGTTCATTTGCATAATTTCAACAAATCTTAGCACTACAGAAACACACTTGATGCCTTTGTTCCCTGTGTTAAAATATTTAAATACTTGAAGCTTAATTAAAATATTTAAAGCTTTAGAATATTTCAGAAAAATATCCGACAATACCGACCTCACAGCATGACCAAAAAGACTGAAACACAGAGAGCCAGTATCACAACACTGTTACACTGCAGATATTTTGTACAAACAATGCAAACTATATGAGACATCAAACAACGTTGAGTGCAGTTATTGTGCTGGGACACCTCACTTCAAGTGTTGAGGACCATAGAGCACAAATAAATATGAAGTCATACAAAGCCAAATTAAATAACCACTGACCGTAGGAGGTTTTCATCTGCTCAGGAGGCAGAGAGCAGAGTCTCACACATTCTGTGAAACATTTGTAAAGTGTTGATAATTTCACAATTACCTCTTCCTCATCATCTTCCCCGTCTTCGCTGGCATATCTAGTGTCACTGGCTTCAGCATCGTCATCGTCGACCAACTCTGGATGGAACTCAAACACCTCGCGGCCGCTTACCTGCAGATGCATGAGATTTAATTAAATCCTGGAAATACTGTCTGCTGTAGCATCACTGTCGGTAAAACGAGACAAGATAAAGACTCAAAGTGACCACAGAAATTTAAGTCGGAGCCACACTTACCACAAGCGATTTTCCAGCCTTAAAGTCAGCCTTCTTCTTCTCCATCTCCTCCCTCGCTTTGTCCACCTGTTAATGAAGAGCATTTTTTTAAGTGTATCCACATAGAATTACTAAGTCTTCTGATTTAATCATAGAATAAAAACTCATCACAATGTCCTTAATCATCAGAAGACCTAATTTCCGCAGGTAAATGTAAGTCAAGTCCATTTTATTTATAGAGCCCAATATCACAAATCCCAATTTGCCTCAGGGGCCTTAAAATTAAACATTTCTGGTGACAAACTGATGTTAATAAAATGATTAAATATGTCCCAACCTTCTCCTGCCTTTTCCTCTTCTTCCAAGCCAGGAAAGTCTCCAGGGTGATTCGAGTCACATCAGCACCAAGAGCGGCACGCTGCAGGGGAAGACACAGACATCAGGGTGCGGACAGTAGAGAGAGCTTCATAACATCGGCCATGGACAGTATTTAGAGAGCATTTGACATCGGACCCTGTGTGATAGCCATGTTGGAGTTCCTAAGCTTTTGGGCGGCAATATCTAAACGCAAGCAGTTACAGTTCGTTACATCCAATTTGGCTTTCTGAGATTTATATCTGTGTTATAAAATAGTTTTACTGTGCTTTATTGGACTATACTCTGTGTGAAGTTGCAATACAAATAAAGCTCATTCCCTTTATTACTAGTACTAATCAAACATATAATTAGTAAACGAAAAATTATTCGGAGAGATCACAACCCTGACTAATGTTAGCCAACAAGGATGGTAGCTAACCACCACTGTCTTGTTAACACTTCTGACATTTCCACTAGAAGCTACCTGTAGTGTGCATTTGTTTAAACTTTCTTCTTCTTATTAATTTGATTTAATAATTCAGCACCAACATCAGCAATTTCTCCTTTTCATTTGTGCACACCCAATTCAACACGTGACCGCCAGGATGGCGGCAACCTTGCTTGTTGAGATACAGGAAGCAGTACAAAGCCTATGTTATGGAACAAAGATGGTCTGCACATTAATAATGTGATGAAGCATCCTCACATTCATTCCTCTCAGCTCATCTCTTCTAAGCCGCCTTTGCTGCTCTTATAAACCCCAAGCATCCAAAAATATCAGAGTTGGATTGTAGTAACTGTTTTCCCTTGTGACTTTGCATCACTCCATCCATCCTTACCTCATTTTCTATCAGTTCCTCCAGCGAAATCTCCTCCTCTTTCTCCTCCTTTTTCTTGTCTTTTTTAAGTACAAAGCCGGGTGGCAGGGCGTGCCGGTACATACATTCTCCACCGCCCCCAGGACACACCCAGAACCAGCCGTACTTATTATTCTCTATGGCGTCCAGGAAGTACTTACACACCTGCAGACGACACAACAGAGTAGATAATGTTACACAGAGGGGAACCGGGAAACATACAGCATCTTAGCATCTATTATTACCTTACTGAATATTAACTTCCACTGACTGTCAAGTGGGTCCACATGTTTGGGGGACAAACTGAATTCATCACCAACATTAATTCCTTGTGTTTTTTGTTTTATTGCCCCCAGCAATAAGAGGAATACATCAGGGATCAAAGATGTATGTAATGATTGATCAAAGCTAAAACCTCCACTGCTGCCCAAACCTTCCGGTTTAAACCGTCCCTGGAAACCCTTGTAGATTTTTCACCCTTGGATTTGGTTCTCTCTTCTTCTTCATCCCTTTCATCATCCCCATACTTCTGTCTGATCTCCTTTACATGACTTAATTTCTCCACATGCAGATTGCAACACTGGAAAACCAATTTGGGCTCCTTTTGGGCAGTTTACATACAAAGTCAATGCAAAGACACGTAGACACGTATATTTTCAACTCAAGCGAAGAAGTCGCATGACGTTGAGCCGCGATAGCCTATCAGTGTTGAGATTGTCTGTATGTGACTGAGGCTTCAGAGCGATGTGTGGAGAGGGCCGGGCAGAGCGGGGGATTAAAAATCTGCTGGCCGGCTGAGAGCTGCTAAACTTGGGGGAGAGGAGCAGGGAGCAACGCTGCAAACATTGGACAAATAATCACCCGTAGTCAGTCGGATTTGGCTCTGACAACTACGCCGTTTACTCGCGGGAGGAGCTCGGAGTAAACTGCTTTTATTAAATTATCTTTTTACTTTAGTTTTTGGGATTACAACATTGATTTATCTTCCATGAAGCTTCTCAGCAGCTTCCGTGCACATCCGGTTCCAGTGTGGTTGATAGCATCGTTAGCTCAGTTGGACTACGACTTCATATTTATATAAAAAACGGACAAAACTGGACATTACTTGGAGAAAAGAAAGCGAGGAGGTTGAACTACCTGGTCAGTTCAGAAAACATGTGTCTGTAACTTTATTCCAGCTATCGTTGTACTTTACTGTGACCCATAGCCCTGATCGATCCGAACTCCATTCAGAAAACAAACATTTTAGAAGTTGTTGTCCTGCTGTCTTGCTGACAGACCTGACAAAGCATGAATTCATATGTTTAAGAAATCTGCATTATGTTGTAGTTATTTTGGCATCAGTTTAACCCGTTTATTGCTTTTTAATCACAGCAAAATGTTTACTTTGGGTTCATACAGTTGTAGTAATGGCAAGTTGTGTTTATTCACGTTAAAATCGCCTTCTCGCGTTGTGTGTGTGAACACTTGCAGCGAATGTACTCAAGCGAGGAAAGCGTCGCGAGGTGAGAATTCCTTACAATTTTTGGAAACAACTGTTCATTTATCATCAATTATCAAATGGACCATTTAATGGGCCATTTGATTTCCCTGTCTTCAGTCATTGTTCATTATTCATCATCAGAACAGACTTACAATTTGTGTTTTGGCCTTTTTCTTCTCGGCCTCTCCGTGTTTTTTGTTGACCACCTCCTCCAGCTTCTTCTCATCCCAGTTATCCATAGTGTCTAAACAGAACACAACAGGCCCGATGTTCAATAATACAACAAGTACTCAAGAGTTTTACAAAAAAAGAAACAATGAGAAAGGGAATGCACAACAGTATCTGATTTTCTGGTGATTAAAAATGAGCTCTTTTCTGTAATGCTGAAAAAAATCACTTCAAGTTTAAATAAAACAAAGAAGAAATCTTACAATTCACGTAATTCTAATATTGAATGCCAAGCAATTGCAAGTTTTTAATCAGATGGCCTACATATTAAGTTGTTGTAACTTTTTAAAATTTGGAAAGATTATATCAAACATAATTTTTATTAAGAAAAAATTATGATGTAGAAATTCTGAGGTCGCTCAGCGTCATACAGTAATATAACACATTACGGCCTCTTCAGATGGGAAGCAATTGAAGAGCCTGGTAATTCATTTTCAATGAGAGGCGAGCAGGTAGGAAGGGAAGCGCGGGCAATCTTATAGGCAGAGTGACAAGTGGGCGCAATACTGTCAGTTTCACGGTATTGCACATGTCCGCTGCCAGAGTTAAATTCCTTAAAAGTTTTTCTACGCGATGCACAGTGTGTTTTAGAGATTCCTCAATTATATAACCGTTTCCTTGACAGTTATCAGGACATAAACAGGCAATGACCTTTGCTGCTTTCCCCTATTCAATAAAAATAAATTTAACAACTTACACAGCTGGAGGACCACCCTTCGACGCCGATCTATAGTTAAACTCGCAGAGAACTAGATAGTATACTCAACTAAATTCTAAAAATCATAAGTGACGTAATTTGAAATTTAGCAGTTATACCTTTTAGTTACAGACTCTTTCATCATTTCTAGAAGATATTTTAATTATTTCTACAGCCTATGAAACGAGACAGTCGGAGAAATAAGCGAGTCAGAAGTAATTTCACATGGCATGTTCTAAAAAGAGAAACGTAGACGGCGAAAAGAGCTTTTAATGAAGAATGGACAGACTCTTACACGTTCATTCTTCCCACAAGCTCAATTAATGGTGATTACTGAAAGCAACAATGAAGCACCACAAACGTTACAAGACAAAGTACGGAGCATCTTTTGAGCAAACGTACCCACTCAAATCCAAACTGAGCGCATAGAAAATAAACAATGTAAGAGCCAATATGATCAATCTGTACTGTAATACCACCCAAAGCCTATAATACATCCTGGTTACCTGCACTATACACTGACCTTTCTCCAGGTCTTCGTCTCTTTCATCCACGTAGACACTTCTCTTCTCACATTTCCTCTCCATTGACAAATCGTGGCTGAACTTGCACTTGTCACCTTTGGTACACTGACCCTGCTTAAAGAATGCACACAGCACTGACTTTGGGTCAACACCTGCAGAAAAGAGAGGAGAGTGAACAATTGATTATCTTTTCCAGTACATTGTTCAAATGTAATGGAGGCACACAAGAACACCGGCATTAATTAAATGATGAACAACTAAAATCGAAGATTAGCAAGAGGAAAGTTACAATTCATTCATCTTCGGTCACTTTGTTTACCTTTGCTGACTTTCTGGGCAGCGACTACGGGTTTAAAAAGCTCATTGAGTTCTTCCAACTCTTTCTTCTTGTCAGTCTTCTTGCCGGTCTTATCTGCCTCAGCCTACACAAACAGAGAAGGTAGATATATTCAAAGATGATCTGATCCAATGAAATTAGCTCACAAAGATTTAAACCAGTGGTAAGTTGTTGCATTTGTTGTACATATGACATAGAAATTATTTGGTAGAAGGAGAAAATCAATAAAGTGAGAAACAGCAAACCAGAGAGACAAGAGTGTTTGATTTGAGGACCAAATCAAAGACAGTCAGCGATATAAAAGGATGGAGAAAAACAACAAAACAAGAAATGCCTCCTAACCTGTCTGGCACTTTGTTGTCCATGTTTGACTTGCTGAGTGACGTTCTTGATGAACTTTTGCTGCTTGGCCCCTTTCTTGTTCTTCAAGCCAAATGTCTTGTCCTAGAAGGAACAAAAATACAAATCGCTGGTTCCATAATTGACTTCCAATAAACATCCCCTGAACAGGCAGTTCCAATTTAACAAGAACGAGTTCCTGCACTTGTTTTCCTTAATTACAAAATCAACAAAATACAAATGATAAGGAGGAAAGCCACTTAAAGCAGCACAGAGCTGAAAGGTCCCTGTACACTGTGTGGTTGTGGAAAGTTTTGAAAGGGAAATCTTTGACTGGTAAAATGGTGATTCTACATTGCATTGTTTAACATGTCCACCAACATCTGATTTAGAGCTCTAGTGACCAAATACTAACAGTGTTAAATAACAACATGACAGGGCTATACACATCTACCCTTTCAACTGGTAGTTGAGCTGGAGTGGTAAGACTAAAGACAATAAGGAGAAGATAAGCAAGGGTTGAGTTTGTCTAGCTGGCATTTAGCTACAAAGGGTCTTCTTAGAGAAACAAGGCTGTTTAAAATTGAGGAATGTGGCTGGCATTATGTAACAATGTCTTAAAGTATTAGGGCTGGGCGATATGGCCAAAAATGTTATCACGAAATTAAATATCATTCCATATTGATAATAATTATCACGATAAATGTCAAAGTATTATTTCTTTCAAGTTTAGAGCCTGATTTTTGCTCCTGAGTGAAAGTTGAAGAAAACAGATGGTTAATTGTGGTTTTAATCTTTTCTTCATGGTCAGAACAAACACTTGATGCCAAACAGTGGATTCACTTCACAAATCTGAGGCAACATGATGAAATCCTTTTTCAACAAATATAGATGTAATGAAGATGTAAATATATAGTTTTACTCTAAAAAAAAAAGGGCTCAGTAATTCAAAATAGCTGGGTATTTTGGACATATTACTCAAAACACTAGTGTGTTTTAGGGACTGCATTAAGTCACAGATTAAAATGTCGTTGTCACTCACGACTTCCTGGACAACAATGAAGGTCTATGGCAAAGAGGAATAAGCTATATCAGGCTTTGAATACACAAACAATACTTTTAATAGCATAAAGTCATTGTTCTTGGACTTTTGGTGGGATTTGTAAGCAATAAATCTTATTTTGGATGGTACACGAAATGCCATCACACAAGTGGGCTTACTAAGTTCTTCTAACCTGTTGTAAAGTCAAAACAGTCAATGCAGATAAAACATGACAATTTCTGAATTAATAAATCATAGGGGGAAAAAAACTAACTCCAGTGCAATCTGTGTTAACTAATGTACATCAGCAAAAGGCGGCTAACGCTAACAAGCCGGTGTGGTTACGTTGACAGAAAGATGATTAGCCGAATCAACAGCTGCTTTCAGGGCACGACATCGGCATTAACAGAAACATATTTGACAACACACACATTAAGTTTAATAATGACCAGCTTCTGACCGGTTTTAGCTCGGATCGAAACAGGCTAAAATCGGGTCCCTCGTCTCTCCTGTGGGGCCGAACAGGCCCGTGGCACCGCGCTTCGACGCCCTCTCATGTAAGTTATAACCAAGACATTCATGTGATACGCTACAAATACATTGTGTTATGTCTCATAATTTAAGCTGCTGACGTTAGTGGCATAGATCAACCTTAATGGGACAAATGCGAACACTTACAGCGGCGGCAAGGCCCTGATAGCTTCACCGCTAACGTGCATATGTCCGTTAGCACGTCAGCTAACGCTAAACACCGACATGCTAACTCAAGTTAGTTTGTACCTCAATTATCTTTTCCTTTTTCTTCTCTTGAGTTTTTTTATTCCCCGCGGGTGCGGCGGGTTTCTTCGGAGGCATGTCGGCTCAGGTATAGCTGTGTACAAACGGGAAATATTTATTTTAATGTGGCGTCTCTGCTGGGAAGTCAGCTCCACATTCCCCGGTCGTTGCTAGCAGCACAGCAGCAACGGCGCTCTCTTTAGGCCACATGTGAGTTGTTGATGTTCTGTGGCGTCATCGCGCAGCACGAAGAGCATGACGGTTAATGTAGTATATAGAAAAAAACGATGTTTTCTAGCTAAGTATGATATAAACTTAACAAAGTCAGAGTTATTTATTTGCAGTGTTGGGGAGTAACTAGTTACATGTAATTTAGTTACGTAATTTAATTACAAAATAAATATAATTGTAGCCTAATCGGTTACAGTTACTGGGATAAAATGTGTAATAGTAAAAAATAAAAGTACAGTACTTATGAAAATGGGGTTTACATCTGAATGTTTTCTCTAAAAAGCAATATGTGTGTGTGTGTGTATTTACTCCAGCATCCTTCACTTTTTTCTTTAAAAAAGTATATATATCTATGAATAATGTAAGAAGAAAGCAAACAAAGAGTGCAGACATCCTAAATCAAAAAAATGAAAATGTCCAGATTGTGCCCAAAATGTCAATATTGTGTTTATTATTATTATTATTGTTGTTGTTGTTGTTGTTGTTGTTGTTGTTATTTCCCAGCACTGCCTTAACCCTCTTGGGCATGGAGTTCACCAGAGCTTCACAGGTTACCACTGGAGTCCTCTTCCACTCCTCCATGACGACACCACGGAGCTGGTGGATGTTAGAGACCTTGCGCTCCTCCACCTTCCTTCTGTTTGAGGACGCCCCACTGATGCTCAATAGGGTTTAGGTCTGGAGACATGCTTGGCCAGTTCATCACCTTTACCCTCAGCTTCTTTAGCAAGGCAGTGGTCGTCTTGGAGGTGTGTTTGGGGCCGTTATCATGTTGGAATACTGCCCTGCAGCCCAGTCTCCGAAGGGAGGGGATCCTGCTCTGCTTCAGTATGTCACAGTACATGTTGGCATTCATGGTTCCCTCAATGAACTGTTGCTCCCCAGTGGCAGCAGCACTCATGCAGTCTCAGATCGTGACACTCGCACCACTATGCTTGAATGTAGGCAAGACACACCTCCTCAACTGGTTGCCGCCACACATGCTTGACACCATCTGAACCAAATAAGTTTATCTTGGTGTCATCAGACCACAGGACATGGTTCCAGTTGTCCATGTCCTTAGTCTGCTTGTCTTCAGTAAACTGTTTGCGGGCTTTCTTGTGCATCATCTTTAGAAGAGGCTTCCTTCTGGGACGACAGCCATGCAGACTAATTTGATGCAGTGAGCAGCATATGGTCTGAGCACTGACAGGCAGACCCCCACCCCTTCAACCTCTGCAGCAGTGCTGGTAGCACTCATATTTTTATTTCCCAAAGACAACCTCTGGATATGACGCTGAGCGCATGCACTCAACTTCATTGGTCGACCATGGCGAGGCCTCTTCTGAGTGGAACCTGTCCTATTGAACCACTGTATGGTCTTGGCCACCGTGCTGCAGCTCAGTTTCACAGTCTTGGCAATCTTCTTATAGCCTAGGCCAGGGGTTTTCAAAGACTGAGACTGCGGGCTTCCGCTCAGACAAAGCTTGGGAAACGGTACCCCCGGCAACCACATCTTTACTTTATTTGGTAAGCTTTACTCAATTCCTGGATGCCTATGGGGTCATGGTTATATTATTTGTGCTGTTTGACATAAGTTCTGACTGCACCAAATAGTCATAAAAAGGTCTGTCCTAAGGCATTTATTAGTTTCTGGCTCTGATGGGGAGGAAACAGTTCCCAACAACTATTGTATCTCTGAACTCTCACACATGTAGGCTACTCTATGTGATCTCCTTTTGATAACTAATGCAATAACTAATGCAATATTTTTTCACTTCCATTCACTAAGGCTCCCCTGAAACTGTTTGGGAGCCCCCTGAGGGAGGCCCGCTTCACACTTTGAAAACCCCTGCCCTAGGCCATCTTTATGTAGAGCAACAATTCTTTTTTTCAGATCCTCAGAGAGTGCTTTGCTATGAGGGGCCATGTTGAACTTCCAGTGACCAGTATGAGGGAGTATGAGAGCTATAACACCAAATATTACAAATCTGCTCTCTATTTGCACCTGAGACCTTGTAACACTAATGAGTCACATGACACTGAGGAGTGAAAATGGCTAATTGGGCCCAATTTGGACATTTTCACTTAGGGGTGTACTCACTTTTGTTGCCAGCAGTTTAGACATTAATGGCTGTGTGACGTGTTATTTTGAGGGGACAGCAAATTTACACTGTTATACAAGCTGTACACTCACTAGCAAAGTGTTGTTCTTCAGTGTTGTCACATGAAAATATATAGTTATATATTTATAAAAATTTGTGAGGGGTGTATTAATATTATATATTTCTGGTTTGAACAACATGTTTCCTGGAAACGGTGTGCAACGTGTGTTCAGCGGTGAAGCCACTTCGCGTTTTTGACCGGAGAGCAGGGAAGCCAATGTTGGTCCTATTTAGTACATGGTTACTTCTTATTGGCACCAGGGTCTACTGTGAATGTGCAGTATAAGATGCACTTTAATGATGTAGAGCAACGGCAGAAAAACACTAGTAGCTGTGTGGCTGCGCCAAAAAAGTCTTGTGGTTCAGTGTGTCGATCTGACTTGGACTGTGACTTTAATTAGCCCACCTAAGGCTTACTTGCCAAAGACCAACGTAGCATCACCAGTGGCTGAATAGGTTATATAGATTCCCCCAAGAGCTTCTCCTCTAAACAATGCGGTTACATATCTCATGTGCGATGGGATGTCGCAGGGTCGTTTTTGGACCTACATAGAACCCTCCGTGGAGGCTTTGGTTAGCTTCACTGTTTGAACTCTCACTTACCCCCTTGTAGGTAGGCCTACTCTTGAACTGTACAGCAAGTGGAGGGTTTCTCTCAGGTTCTGCTATAATTTCATTGTAGTTTTGGTATTTAGCAGCCAGGTGTCAGTGTTGCAATATCTGACAGTTGAGGCGAGACATTACAGATGAGAAAGGCAATGACTAGTTTAGTGGTCAGGTATAACCACAACATATCCAACATAAATCCTTAGAGAACACAGAATTGATATCAGACTGAGAACAAGAATAAGAAACACAGTCCTTAGAAGCAATTGGCTGACTACTAGCACCTGAACAGAAACTCAATCTAGGTGACAAAGGGGAAAAAATTACCAACTATGTCAAGTGTCTGCAGATTCACAGCGCGCCTTAGAACTGATTGACGAGTAGCAGCCAAATGATGAAGACAAGCGATTCAGAAATCATGGCTTATGGGAGTCCAGAGAAGTTGGAAATGATTGAATGAATGATTTAGGAGGAGTTTACACAAATAGCCTACACGATTAAGAAAATTCAATAGGCTGCAGAATTCTGTGTTGCAGAAATTAATGTTCTAGTGTCATCTCGTACCAAGAAATCATGGGAGGGAAAAGGAATTGTGCTTTTATGATAGGCGGTTTACAAAAACTGAAAACATAAAAAACGTCATTACAGAGCCACCATCTGGTCAGTGGGCATATGACCGTTTTATTAGCATTTTGCCTCTGTTTAATAGTTTGATTATATAGACTGCTGGTCAATTAGGACCCCCCTGGTGTGGCTTTTACTGCCTGAATATTGGATGAAATTTTGACCTATCGGGAAACCTTGAGCTCAAAGTGCCTCTGGGGAAAATAAGGGGAGAGCAGAAAAAGAAGAACAACAACCTGTGTAACAACAAGGCTGCAGTCCCTTTGTGTTGGAACAAACTCATTTTTTGTAACCAGAAGCAGGAGATCGTGTCATGGCTGCAGGGGGCGGAGAGCCGACCAGCAGTGATTTTACCGCTTCAGCTGCTGATTCCACTTGATTTAATTAGATTTCACTTTAAGTTACTAATGTGATTTCATTTGGCACATTTGACATTTGCGGCCTTCATCCACACCCTGTCCCAGTTTGTCACATAGTTCACTGTTCAAGATGTGTGTGTGTGTGTGTGTCGTCCAGCTAACTACGGCGCAGTCACAAGCCAAAATGGGTCACACACGCCTGCTCCTTTTGGGCTCTCATTTGCTCTCGTGTGTTTTAATGAGCCTTGGTTTTAAGGGACAACATTTACTTAGTTTGGGTGCCCACATAATGGGAGTACGAGTAGTGTGCTTTAATGAGTCCCACAGTGAGACAATGAATTTACTCTAGTAACAGCATCCTTGGCTACAAACATGTCATGAAGCCATGTGTTAGTATCCTTTCTGCTGACTGTGTGTCTGCTCTCCGATGCAACTTTATTTCATTCTGATGTGGAGGTATTTATTTATAACACATTTGTCATACACGATGCCCTCACACCATGCAGATCAGTTAGCTGGAGAATGCGTTCTGCGTCTATGATAACCTATATTGACACAACTCTGACTGCATGGCTGAAGGCTGGATTTTAAGACAACAGAGGTGGGTAATATTGCCTCGAGCAAACTTTCTCTCTGTGTTTCTCTCCTTCTCCCACTCCCTCTTTCTCTTGTACTGTGAGGATCTTTGTGTTAGTGAGAGCAGTCTAATAAATCACTATGTCTTGGTACATGACAATTTTCCCCCTATAACTGCCTTCTTCATATTCATACAAACATCGATCTTTTGCGCAGAGGGCATGCATGTCATGTGCACACACACAAACACAACCACACACGAGAATGCACTTGAATCCACTAACGCCTGCAGATGGAAGGAAAATATCTCCTGCCTAATTAGCAAAGCACAACAGTTGAGCTTCTTCCCGTGGTATTGCAGAAAACTTGACACCACACAACCTATCCTAGTCCAATTTTTCTGAGGCAGTAATCGAAAAGGGTCCTGGTATTCAGTCTAGCTCGGCCTCCTCCTGCTTCCAAGGACACACTGCAGCACCTTGTCTGCACTGCTGACTGCTGAGCGGGTCATCGGCTGTCAGCTGCTCCCCATCAAGGAGCTGCATGACACCAGGGGCAAAGAAAAGGGCAGGAAAGATTGCCTCCAACCAGGCCCACCCTGGCAGCTACCTGCTAAAAAAGAAAAACATAAAACTTGACTGTGGGTGGGAAAGAAAGTG